AGACAAACGACTAGGAAGTTTTTGTTGTGTGCCTGGGTGTACAAACTTCACGCAGAAAGATAAACTTGCAGGTGTCAAGTTGACTTATCACAGAATTCCCATACATGACGTGAAGCGGACGAAACTCTGGCTTGATCACATCAGAAGAGATGCTTGGTTTCCAAATTCCTCCAGCAGAATTTGTTCCATTCATTTCGAAGGAGGTATGTATTTTTGAAAATAAGTATTACCTGTTAATGTCAGTGGTATAACATGGGCTGATAGAAATATCGACGAAATATCATTTCCCCGTTGTGTTTGATACTAAACTATTTTGTAACCAAGACCACGTCACAATCCTAAATTACTACCCTGTTTCAAGTCAACTTTTCAAAACAACAAAACACTATCATCTTGTCAGATAAATACTAATATTTCATAGTTTACCTGCGATGTTAGCTACTGTATCATTAGTTATATAATAAAAAAAAGCACTTACAGTTCGACTTCCCAGTGTTTTGACTGGTCTGTAGAAAATTCAGTAAATCTACCTAAGGTTAAAGCTACACACCTCTTAGAACTAACCAATCACTTTTACCAGTACATAAAAATTTATTTCAAGATTTTACCAGTAAAAAGACAAAAATTTGGATAATATCTGCAAGATTGGAGTTCTAATTATTAAGGTTATTATAGTAGATTAAATTAGATATTACAGTGGTACTGAAACCCCTGTTTCCATAAGTCACCAAGTGTAGCCTGAAACCAAAATTGACAGGCTTCGGGTAAACCTGTCTCACATTTTGTTATTTGTTGCTGACATAAGTGTTTTTAGAAGCTCAGAGAGGAATAAGTATTTGGAAGTGACAATACTTTTTATTACCATTGAGTTTCGGTATTTGGGGAGGCAAACTGTTACATGTGTTTTAGTTCCTGTGAATACAAAATAATGAATGACATATAACTGTCCATCTTTAAAAACTCACAATCAATGACTGTTACATAACCAGTGGTAACATGAATTGGACATTGTCAGTAATTTATGGTCATGCCATCACGACCATTGGCAATCAACTAAATTGCATCATCAGACATACTAAACACCTGACCTGCCAACTTTATGACCACATGTCATCAGACTTTGACCACGCATGCTCAAATGACACTTGCTAATTGGACAAGGTAAGTTAATTAGCTAAGCATTTATTTGATGATGTAATAAGTTGAATAACAATGTTAAAAAACTGTTTTATTTTGATATTTGAATGATATTGCTTAATTTGCTTATTCAACAACTTACTACTCATTTTTTCTCACAAAAAGGTTTTGTTTCCTGTCAATACTGATTAAATGTCAATAGCCGGATACAAAACATAATAAATGGAAAACACAACATGGAAGTAAAACTCAGGAATAGCAATTGGGAAAATGTCCACTTGTACACTGTATCAGAACTATGATTACATAGCAAATACTTTAACGTAAGGAGTTGGTTATGGTATGCCTAGTAACTGAAACGACATGCAGCTGAAAATCAGGTTATATAAAATTTGAGTTAAAACTGTATACATTGGGTGAGTAAGTAGAGAGTTTTGTTTTACGCCACACTCAGCAGTATTCCAGCTATATGGTGGCGGTCTGTAAATAACTGAGTCTGGACCAGACAATCCAGTGATCAACAGCATGAGCATCGATCTGCGCAATTGTTGTACATTGGGTATATATGAAGTGGTGATATTCACTGGAAGTAGTAACTTATTTAAATAAACCTAAGTCAGTACGCCATTACTGTAAAGTACTGTTCTGACGTCATATCCTTGATTATAAGAATTTAGTTATTATCACATAAAACAGGAAATATTTCCAGTCGTCTCGATATGGAAATTTGTTTAGGCAATTGTTATTTTTCATTTGATTATCGTTTCACGGATTTGGTAATACATTATAACTTGCTCTGCAGAAATGACGAGTCTTTATGGATATTTATCTTCTTTATTACACAATATCCTTAAAGACTCGTCATTTCTGTCACTACCAACTTCTAGAATGCCTCTCAAACAGTTCATTTTCTCTACAGGCAAGAAATCTGACGATCCAAAGAAACCAGGCTACATCCCAACTATCTTCCCTTCTCGCCAGAAACTGATCAAGCGACGAACAACCCTGAATTCATCCAAAACTAAGTCACCTCCAGCAAAGCGTGTCTGCCGCAAGATCTTCCCTGATAGTTCTGCTTTATCTCCCAGCTCTGACACCCTACTTCTTTCCCCACCCAGCTCAGCCACTGATGACAAGCTATCTGCTCCTGTCGCAGAGCAGGAAGACTCTACACCTGCTCCTGAATACTCTACACCTGCTTCTGAAGACTCTACACCTGCTTCTGAAGAAGAGCCTCAAGTCATACCATCTCGGATGGACCATGACTACGTCTATCAGTATATAGATGGGACTCCCTGCAACGAGAAGATGGAGAAATTGAAACTTCGGCTTCAGCATCTTGAACGGGAAAATGAAAACCTGAAGAAGAAAACACTCTGTCTATCAAGCTATAAGGACAATGATGTGAATTTCCACTACATGACCAATCTACCAAACTACAATACTTTTGAAGTACTGGCTATGTTTCTGCATAGAAGATGTGATGGGAGGCTTAACTACTGGAGACATCAACAGTCATGTAACAACACACGTCGTTCCATTAAGAAGCCTGGAAAGGAACGCACACTTAACTTCCAAGAGGAACTATTTCTTGTGCTCGTGCGACTTAAGCGAGGTATGGAGTTAAGAGACATGCATTTGAGAACTGGAGTAAGTGTATCTACTTTGTCAAGAATCTTCACAACTTGGATCAACTTCATGAACAACGAGCTGACTGCCTATTTTGAGATGGTCGCAGTTGATCTCAGTCATGTGCAGACAATGCCATGTATGGACCCATTTCCAGAAGTGACGATAACGCTTGACTGCACAGAACTCTTCTCACAGCGCTCTATGGACCTTCAGGCACGAAAAGAAACATTTTCCAACTACAAACACCATGACACTGTGAAATTTCTAGTTGGAATGGGCCCACACCAAGCTGTGAATTTTGTGTCAGCAGCGTGGGGAGGAAGAGCTACAGACAAACACATAACACTCAACAGTGAGAAGCTCATGTCCAACCTAGCTCCAGGTTCCAGCGTCATGGCCGACCGCGGTTTCCTTGTGACTGAAGAACTCCGCTCACTCGGTGTTAAGATGATAATGCCACATTTCAAAGGCAGAGACAGGCCTCAGTTCTCTGCTACTGAAGCTTGCCGCTCAGCGCAAATCAGCAGTGCACGTATACACATCGAACGTGTCATCCAACGCATTAAAACTTTCCACATTCTTGAGAACTCCATCCGAATGGACCAAAAAGGATATGATTGAACAAACATTTAGAGTTTGTTCATACCTTGTTAATTTTCAAAGACCTATTTTAAACAATTAAGAATGTATTCTAATAGTGTATGCTTGTTATGCTTGTATTTTGTCAATGTAATGGCAAAGAAGGGTGAAAAAGTAACAACACTGGAGTAGAGGTTGATTGATATATTTACAACCAATGTGATCTCATTTTGTGAACATCACATTTTGAATGTTATGGCTCATTTACAATGACAATGGTACATACATATTGATAAATGTACAAGCATTATGATGTTATGATTACACAATGCCATTTAGAAAGAAAGCATAATCCCAAATATATAATGTTACATCATGATGTTTCAGTTCTAAATATATATACAGGCACATTGATTGTCAAGTATTATGATATTTTCCATTCTTAACTAATTCAGACCATACTGATTCATGTACCATTTGTGCTCAATGACATTTGTACAGATATTGTTCAATTTGTAAATATATAAGTGAACATTTCATTTACATGAAATCATTTACCATGACAAAAAAAGGTTCAGAGAAATATACACAAGTATTGAGATGGTCAGGACATTTACTTATACAAAACTTATAAACCAAAGTGGTCGGATAAACGAGGTCTGACTGTATTATATATATTTCATGTGGAACCACAAGCGTATCCAATTGAGTGAGTAATAAATCTGATTTTTATGAAACTTTTCTTGTTCCTTTTTTTTTGTCAAAGAGGATTGTATGTAGTGGTGTTCCGATGATCGAAAGAAGGATTAAAAATGATTATCGATTGTAAACAAATATTTTTGATTAATCAGAATTTTGTGTTTTTTGTATAACACCCTTGAATTAAGTATACGTATTAAATTTGATGAATATTCACGAACAAACATGCGCTCAACAGCAAAAGCTATGTGCATGGTAAAATTTTAACCACTTTTATTGTTTAATTACAATTCCAGTGTCTTACTTGCATGCGTGCATTTCATTGCATAATGGTTTTTGTTATAAAAAAACCTGGGGTAAACCCTTAAAATTGGTGATTACATTAAAAATGTATATATTTCGATTATAAACGATAATCGTTCACCACAAGTCCTCCGATAATCGATAGTGGATTTGGTTTCCGATTCCCAACATGTCACTACATGTAAATGTACATTCAAAACATATTAAGGACACACATATAAAATATGTTGCAGCTGTCACATAATATGGCGATACAGGTTACATATGAATACAACATAAGAAATGTCAAGTCGCACTTCACATAATAGAAAAGGTTGGTAAATTCAATAAAGACTATTAATATCAGTAACCACTCAGTGGCATATATACTACTCACACTCTGCTAAGGATCCCTGAAATTTATCATGGAATTGAGCAGTGACATTACTTCACAGCACTTGACATTATGAGCAAGAGTTCCTGCAGCTACCACAGAACCAATCAGCTGCAGCAGCAGCCATGGCAGCTGTGTAGCCAACACAGGGCCAGCTGTACCAGCTGTCTGCTGTGGCACAAGCACAGGAACAGTCACATGCCACAGCTGCATTGCTGTTGTCCACGGCGATGTCATCTGACTCAGGCAGCACTTTATGGCAGATGACACAGCTGGCCTAGGTGGTCTTGGGTGGGTTCAAAACTTCCTTCATTCGAGCAGTCATTATTTCTGGGACAACATATACTTCGAAGAATGTGTTGAGATCCTTGAGAGTTCTCTCCCAAAGTATTGGGTCAAACTGCACCCTTAGGATTTCCATCGATTTCTTTGTGTACACAACAAAGTCACACTTGTTGACCCCCACCACAGCCATGGCATCCTGCACCTGATGGTAGTAATCAGTGTCCTGCTTCAACCTCAGAGAAAAGTCGGGAAGCAGCTCCAGGTAGGTTAGCTTCTTGGTCCGTACTGCTTCCCTGACACTGATGTCTCTGGATGAAAACGGACACTTGATCTCCAGGATGGTTGTTGTGTGGCATCCGCAGGACACAATACCATCAGGGCTGGCTCGGAGGTGGGGGTAGTCCGGGTGTACATGAAGTCCTGTCTCCTTCACCTCCAGAGACCTGTGTTGTAATTTCCGGCGAGACACATAGGCGTTCCGGGCCACCGACTCATAGCGTATTCCATACTTTAAGCTGGGTGCTGAGGTGGAGCGCTGATGGGGGTTGGCACCAAGTCTGTAGCCCATGACATCCCGGACAAGGACATCTGGATCAGCTTTTCGTGTCATCATGTAGCGGACGATCCGGCCAAAGTTACTGGAGGTCAAACTGACATACTTCTGCCGGAACCACTCCAGGTTGTTGCTTTGTCCGAGAGTGAGCAAGGGGATGAGCTGCAGATCAGATGTAGAATAGGGAAATGATGAAATGAAGGCATCAACTTCTGACAGGAAAGAGGGATGTGTTGCATCTGTGAAAGTCTTGTGAGGTAGGGAGGCGATAGGCAGAGGTTGGCTGGTGACGGTGACTTCAAAAGAGTAGGCGAGGTAAAGAAGAGAAAGAAGGCTGACAGTTGGAGGCAGGCTTGATAAAGCAGAACCAGGTTGGACTATGCCGGGAAACCTGGATGGGTCAAGGGCGTAGACCGCAGGGCAGACCCATCCAAGATGACTGGTTGCCTGGATCAGAGCTTCTCTGAAGTCACGAGCTTGCTCAGCGGTGAGAGGCTTGAATCCATTGATAACAATGGACCCATAATCATCGGCAGTTCTCCTCCTCTTGTTCGTCAGATCATGGTTACCTATGGCCTGGAATCGCTTGGGTTTCACGGTTGCAGCTGTAATATAATGAAATAAACTTAAACATTTGTAAACAATTACTAATTACCATACACTCATATTAAAATTGGCGCATTGAATTTGTGTTAATCTTTTGTTATTGATGGAGGGACAGCACACTTCTCAATAGCATACATGTAAATGTTATTTTGACACATAATATGATCATGTTATTATTAACCATAGAGAAATTAAAGAGAAGACAATCTTTTACTATTTAACAGAATACAATCTGAATGTGGCCAGTGTCTAATAAATAATGAACAAGCCCATCCAGCAATACATCATCCACAACTTTAAAATCTTTATAACCCTATAACAAGTTAAAAGAGGAAAATGATACTGCTTAAGATACTTTTTACAAGCATTTTCATTTCAACATTTCATAAATTTCAAACAGTGACAGGTGACCAAATTAATACTGACGTTTCGGGTCAATCCATGGACAGAGCTTGTCCGTACAGGCAGCTTCACCAGGGGCAGTCTGGACTCCATGCGCCTGCCACTTCGCCAAGAGGCACAGCACAGCTCCGATGTGGCCACAAGCCTGGGTGAATCTGGAGAACAAATTAGACAATCTTAGAGAAATTGTTTTAATTTCATATATATTGTTACACAGACACTGTAAGCTTGATATCTGGATGTGAGTTTACCTTATACACTTGCCAAGAAGATAACAAACATATCATGTTAAGTACTGTCATACAAAGAAAGAAAGCAAATCTGATATTACAATTTTTTATTCCTTATATTTACAGTGCTAATACTTAAGCATGTACAATATGATGTACCAATGTGAGGTTGAAAAAGTAACAACACTGGAGTAGAGGTTGATTGATATATTTACAACCAATGTGATCTCATTTTGTGAACATCACACTTAATTGTGAATGTTATGGCTCATTTACCATGACAATGGTTCATACTTGATCTTAATGGGCAATGACAACCAGGACTTTATTTCTTACATAATCTCAGGTTAATGAAAAATAAATAACATGAACTTCATAGGTACTTACCCAACAGTACAAGTGCAATATGCTGAACAGGGGTCTCCAGTCACGATGTCGAGCACCAGGTGAAGTACTTTAACATCCTCTGCCTGTGTGCTTTGCGAGGGATTGCACCTTGCCTGGATGCAATAAAAATCGGAATATTCCGGATGTTGTGTCACAAGAACTGAGTGAATATTGTCCTTCAACTGATATGCACGAGAAAGTTTGTACGTCTTGAGTTGACTCTTCTCTAAAATGTTACATCCCAGGAGGTATTTCTTCACCACAGTCTCGTCGATGTCAGGGAGCGATGAAATGTCACGAGACCATGACTTGAGGCGGAGAAGGTTCAATGGGGTAAGCTTGCGAAGTGTCAATATCTGTTCTGCAGTAAGTCGCTCCTCTCCTATGCTCAAAAATCCACGGTCAGGTGAAGCACATCCAGTGGTACTAAGACCTAAAATGTGACACAAGAAAATGACACGGGCTGTCCTTGGCAAAGTGTTCGAGATGTGATTTCTTACACACACAGCCTTAAGTTCGTTTGCACTTAGCTGATTTACTTCTGTAAAACTCTTGTACTTTAACACTGGTTTCAACTTGTTACTAGCCATATTACAAAATGCAAAAGCAATAGTGAATATGTGGGGACTGACTGAAATCAATGCATGTAAATATATAGACCCCATTCTGAATATCTCCATCTCAGTTAAACTGTAGAGGACGTGGAGTTGATGATATTAATGAAGTTTACAATTGCATTTTACTTTAATTTCATATTGTTAAAACAAAAATCAAAACAAACATACAGTTTTATGTCGAATACAATTGATCTCAAGTCATTTTGAAACAAAGGCCGGGATTAGCTAAATAAGTACCTTAACAAGCTCTTGTGTATACACGTCCACCGTCCTTCCTGCACATCCCCTTCTCACAACTAATACCACATCTCCGAAGCATTTGCAACAAAAACAGACATCAATTATTGAAAACCAAACGCAATTGGAAGTGTGTACTTACCTATGAACTGTTGTCACACGTAAATAATCTTCATAACAGCTTTTCTTCGGAGTGTGTTTGCACTATCCGTAAACTCACCACCAAAACGGAAATGACCGGAGGATTATTTACACGCTCTGCGCATGCGCGCCGCGAGTCGCAAAATAATGTGAAACCGATGAATAACGACCTCGACGGTATGTTTACCAATCACACCAGAAATGGGCTTCACACATTGTACTCGTGTGGGGAATCGAACCCGTACCTTCGCCGGGACAAGCAAACGCTTTACCCACTAGGCTACCGTACCGCCAAACTTCCAATTTGACCTGGAACTAAAACATGTCACGAAACTCCCACCTCAAGGATACTATGCAGAACGATACCATTGAGAACACCTTGACTCAGGCAGGCATGCGTCAATATAATTTACACTAGTTCAATGAAACATGTCAAATAATGTGCCTGAGAATGTGCACTGTACCTTCAACAAGCCCACACACCCAGCAAGCCGGGCAGAAGGAAGTCTAATTCACCTCAAACTCGATAACGAAGTGTGGAAGTGTGTATTCATGGGTTTCCAGGCCGTTCTCCGGTACAGTCTATTAGCGCTCCCTACAACTGCCAGCGCTCCGCCACACACAGTCTGTGGTGTATTGATTCGCCCGCTCCTCTCTGTGGGCACAGGCCAAATATTCGCACTGCCTCGTTCCAGCAATTGTCAGACACATATAGATTATTTGGATTTGGCATCTTATATCGTCCTTTCTTTTCCAAATTGGGCTGTGTAAGGTTTGGAGAAGGTTCGGAGAAGAATCGATCTTAATTACGACAATCCTGGCGCCATTCCTGGGAGTGATCTCAGAGGTAAGTTTGTATCGTGCTCTGCTTGTCACACCTTTACAAGGATGGTACAGTACCTTCTTTGCAAGACTTCTAGCTCACTGTATCTATGATGTTCTCTGATCCTCAAACAATCTAACGGTATGTGTCATACTGATTTTGTCATATGTGGTTTTCTGTTCATATGTTATGACAGACCACCACAGACATATTTAGAATGAAATATAATATGGCTGTTGCAAATGAAAGCTTTTTCTCGATATTTGAAACGATTATTAAGAAATTTGAAAACGTTCCCGTGATTTCGGCTTAATGTAGCTACTTACGTTCAGAGTATCCATTTCCATGAAGTTTTTTAAAGGCATTTAGAAGTTGGACGAACATGAATGCATGACACGTTTTATGGATAACAACTTATTTTTTATTCTCTGTACGACGTTTCAGAGCTAATTCTAGCTCCTTCATCAGGTGAATGCTGAGTCAGTGCTCGGATTGAGTATATATAGATAAAAACATGTTTACACAATGCAAGGTTTGCGAATGTACATAGATAACACTATAATTAAGAAGCCAATTAGATTGGATTGATGTACAAAGATAACACTATAATTAAGAAGCCAATTAGATTGGATTGATGTACAAAGATAACACTATAATTAAGAAGCCAATTAGATTGGATTGATGTACAATGATAACAATATAATTAAGCCAATTAGATATGGATTGATGTACAAGATAACACAAAGTAAAGAAGGGGTAGGGGATTATTAATGTACAAAGATGGGGGTAGTTTAATAGGAATGTACAAAGATAACAGCTTAATAGGAAGATTAGATAGGATTAATGTACAAAGATAACAATGTAAAGATGAAGCCAAGAGATTAACCGTGTAGTGAACAAAACCAAACCAACGACCATGGGACAATAGACTATACACTCAGGAGTTTCCTCGTTTTCCAGTGGTTGATGTTGGTGTGTACCCCATCTCTGGTTGGTTGCCAGGGAATATGGTGGTCGGGATTTTGGATAAAGGTGTTCCGAAAGGGCAGATTTCATGTCAGATTGTTCTACAGAGGTCTTATATTCTTATATCCTGTGGCTATGGGGCGTGATGTCTCTCCTATGTATTTGTCTCCACATTTGCATGCTATTTCATACACACATCTTCTAGGGTCTGGGGTGGACACAGTGTGACCTTTCCCATTAGCACGTAACATGTTAATGTGAAAGGTCCCACTGAGTCCATCATTTCATGTAAATAATTAATTTGACCCGAAGGTTTCCCAAACATTTGACCAATTATCCCAGGTGATTTTAATTGGAATACGGTTTGTCAGTGGGATTGTTGTTTCTCCACGTTATATCTGTCGCTGAAAGGGACCATGACTTGAGGCGGAGAAGGTTCAATGGGGTAAGCTTGCGAAGTGTCAATATCTGTTCTGCAGTAAGTCGCTCCTCTCCTATGCTCAAAAATCCACGGTCAGGTGAAGCACATCCAGTGGTACTAAGACCTAAAATGTGACACAAGAAAATGACACGGGCTGTCCTTGGCAAAGTGTTCGAGATGTGATGTCTTACACACACAGCCTTAAGTTCGTTTGCACTTAGCTGATTTACTTCTGTAAAACTCTTGTACTTTAACACTGGTTTCAACTTGTTACTAGCCATATTACAAAATGCAAAAGCAATAGTGAATATGTGAGGACTGACTAAAATCAATGCATGCATATATATAGACCCCATTCTGAATATCTCCATCTCAGTTAAACTGTAGAGGACGTGGAGTTGATGATATTAATGAAGTTTACAATTGCATTTTACTTTGATTTCATATTGTTAAAACAAAAATCAAAACAAACATACAGTTTTATGTCGAAACAAGTCATTTTGAAACAAAGGCCGGGATTAGCTAAATAAGTACCTTAACAAGCTCTTGTGTATACACGTCCACCGTCCTTCCTGCACATCCCCTTCTCACAACTAATACCACATCTCCGAAGCAATTGCAACAAAAACAGACATCAATTATTGAAAACCAAACGCAATTGGAAGTGTGTACTTACCTATGAACTGTTGTCACACGTAAATAATCTTCATAACAGCTTTTCTTCGGAGTGTGTTTACACTATCCGTAAACCCACCACCAAAACGGAAATGACCGGAGGATTATTTACACGCTCTGCGCATACGCGCCGCGAGTCGCAAAATAATGTGAAACCGACGAATGGGGTGGAAGTGGGGCCGGTCTAACAGTACAGTGGCCCAGCTGTCTTTTGTCCGCTGGAACAACGATGATGTCTGGATCTAGCTTAAGTTGCTTGATGGGCTGTCTATCGGATTTGGTGAGATTCGGTTTCTGAGGATGTGCCTTCTGGAAAATGTAGCTGATCTGCATTGATCGTGATATGCACCGGGGAAACCTGAGCCCTTTGGCAAGGACACTGGTTTGTTGTGAGGTGAGTTGCTTCGTACGCAGGTTTACTACAGTCTTATTGGTTGGGGAGGGCTTCTTACACACATACATCCTGAATAACGATCTCGACGGTATGTTTACCAATCACACCAGAAATGGGCTTCACACATTGTACTCGTGTGGGGAATCGAACCCGTACCTTCGCCGGGACAAGCAAACGCTTTACCCACTAGGCTACCGTACCGCCAAACTTCCAATTTGACCTGGAACTAAAACATGTCACGAAACTCCCACCTCAAAGATACTATGCAGAACGATACCATTGAGAACACCTTGACTCAGGCAGGCAGGCGTCAATATAATTTACACTAGTTCAATGAAACATGTCAAATAATGTGCCTGAGAATGTGCACTGTACCTTCAACAAGCCCACACACCCAGCAAGCCGGGCAGAAGGAAGTCTAATTCACCTCAAACTCGATAACGAAGTGTGGAAGTGTGTATTCATGGGTTTCCAGGCCGTTCTCCGGTACAGTCTATTAGCGATCCCTACAACTGCCAGCGCTCCGCCACACACAGTCTGTGGTGTATTGATTCGCCCGCTCCTCTCTGTGGGCACAGGCCAAATATTCGCATTGCCTCGTTCCAGCAATTGTCAGACACATATAGATTATTTGGATTTGGCATCTTATATCGTCCTTTCTTTTCCAAATTGGGCTGTGCAAGGTTTGGAGAAGGTTCGGAGAAGAATCGATCTTAATTACGACAATCCTGGCGCCATTCCTGGGAGTGATCTCAGAGGTAAGTTTGTATCGTGCTCTGCTTGTCACACCTTTACAAGGATGGTACAGTACCTTCTTTGCAAGACTTCTAGCTCACTGTATCTATGATGTTCTCTGATCCTCAAACAATCTAACGGTATGTGTCATACTGATCTTGTCATATGTGGTTTTCTGTTCATATGTTATGACAGACCACCACAGACATATTTAGAATGAAATATAATATGGCTGTTGCAAATGAAAGCTTTTTCCCGATATTTGAAACGATTATTAAGAAATTTGAAAATGTTCCCGTGATTTCGGCTTAATGTAGCTACTTACGTTCAGAGTATCCATTTCCATGAAGTTTTTAAAGGCATTTAGAAGTTGGACGAACATGAATGCATGGCACGTTTTATGGATAACAACTTATTTTTTATTCTCTGTACGACGTTTCAGAGCTAATTCTAGCTCCTTCATCAGGTGAATGCTGAGTCAGTGCTCGGATTGAGTATATATAGATAAAAACATGTTTACACAATGCAAGGTTTGCGAATGTACATAGATAACACTATAATTAAGAAGCCAATTAGATTGGATTGATGTACAAAGATAACAATATAATTAAGAAGCCAATTAGATTGGATTGATGTACAATGATAACACTATAATTAAGAAGCCAATTAGATTGGATTGATGTACAAAGATAACAATGTATTGTAATGACAAGGACAAAGTGGGGGTGGGGAGTATTAATGTACAAAGATAACAGCTTAATAGGAAGCCGATTAGATAGGATTAATGTACAAAGATAACAATGTAAAGATGAAGCCAAGAGATTAACCGTGTAGTGAACAAAACCAAACCAACGACCATAGGACAATAGACTATACACTCGGAGTTTCCTCGTTTTCCAGTGGTTGATGTTGGTGTGTACCCCATCTCTGGTTGGTTGCCAGGGAATATGGTGGTCGGGATTTTGGATAAAGTGTTCCGAAAGGGCAGATTTCATGTCAGATTGTTCTACAGAGGTCTTATATTCTTATATCCTGTGGCTATGGGGCGTGATGTCTCTCCTATGTATTTGTCTCCACATTTGCATGCTATTTCATACACACATCTTCTAGGGTTTGGGGTGGACACAGTGTGACCTTTCCCATTAGCACGTAACATGTTAATGTGAAAGGTCCCACTGAGTCCATCATTTCATGTAAATAATTAATTAAGGTTTCCCAAACATTTGACCAATTATCCCAGGTGATTTTAATTGGAATACGGTTTGTCAGTGGGATTGTTGTTTCTCCACGTTATATCTGTCGCTGAAAGGTTGGAGTAAAAGTGCATTCGCCCCGATGATAACATTATACATTATAAGATCTATACAGTTTGAAATTCAACTCAAGCATTCCTATATTTAATAATGAATGGCATTTGTACAGTGAGCTTTGTCGATTTATCTTGCTTGATTATGCCCTAAGGAACATGGGAAGGATCATTTAAACTCTGTGGTAAAATGAAGCTATTCAGATTTATTAATATTATCATAGATTGTGCCAGCATCGTAACGACTTCTTAACACAAATAATCAATTTTCTGTTGAAACGTCCAAATCAACTTCTAAACAACACGTATTTTCATGCACAAGAGCAAGAAAGATTATTTCATAGGTAGACATTACTTGACTGGACCATTGGATTATGATACTGTGCGATCAGTTGATGTCCTGGATCATGAGACTATAGCGTTATCAACCTGTGTGGTCACTAGAGTATGGGACTCTCAACCGCTGGGATCTACTCGTGAAGACCTAGGTTAGAATGGGCCTTCAGTAGCCCATGCCTGTAATAAGAGGCGACTAACAAGATCGGGTGGTCAGGTTCGCTAACTTGGTTGACACATGTCATCGTATCCCAATTGCGTAGATCGATGCTCATGTTGTTGATCACTGGATTGTCTGGAGCAGACGACCAACCTCTGGGATCATGTGACTGTTAGACTATCAACACGTTGGATCATAACCTCAGTTTGGGATCATGAACCTGAGGCCATTAATTTGAGGGATCATCTAGGTTACACCGTACATTTATCGGGTTGTGTATATGTGTAAAGAATAAGGATTTATGCCGCTTTTTGTCAGAGAGTATCTTGGCAAAACATACCGCAATATAGCTAGAATGTAAAACTCACTCAAACTATTCCAAACATAATGAAAAATAGATATTCGTTTTCGATGGCCTAGGAAGACGAACTTGCATGCAAATTCTATGATTGGTATCATTTTGGTGTGGCGGGACATGCTGCCGCTTTTCGCAAAGAACTTGTTGTCATCAATGATTTTCGGTGACCTTTGATGTAATTGTCACCGCTGTTTGGACGTTGTTAAGCTCAGTGGAATCTCTATCAGCAGATACCCGTGAAGGTATTGCTGAGTGCGGCGTAACACTAAACTCATCCACTCTATCGGCAGATAATTAACCGAAACTGCTTATTCCCTTTCCTTTACGTGTTATATTTGCAAGAATAGAAATCAACATACAATATTCTGCTACCGGTTAGACTTTTCTTCCGAGGGTTTCTCGTTCATTACAGAGTACTCAAATTCAGAGTTGTCACAAAAAGATATATAACTCATTGTTTCCGACAGAACCGTTGGTCATTTTGTCTTGGAGAGACAACGGATGACAATTTGTGGATATAATAAGCTTGAGCTGTTCCACGTCAGACAAATACATCAAGTATGCCTCTCACCACATGTCATGCATCTACAATGTATTATGCAGCTTACCAAGCTTTCTAAAACTTCTTTGTCAGACTAAAAAGTCTGCGGGAAACGTATGCCAGTTTGGCGTGAACATGTACTATTTCTGTGCATGTCTTAGGTGGAGGGTGGTGGTTATATACAGGTTGTGGGGTTAAGTGTGTGTGTGTGTGTGTGGGGGTAGGAGTGAAGAGGAATTGTGAGATGGAAGGATGGCATGGATAAGGGGGTGAGCTTCTTGCATGACCATCGAACAATGTTGTTTTCGCACAGTCATAGGCAAATTGTGTTGAAGCATTTTCTGGCATTTTATACTTGCGGCAATTTTACACCTGATTATGAAGAACAGATATGAAGGAATTCTTAATTCATGTGAGCAATGACGATGAGAGATGTATCTATTCGATAACATCTTTCTACATATCATCGCGTTACAATAATCAATGTTACTATTGACACGTAAAGATCCGGGTTAGAATTGGTCTTCAGTAACCCATGCTTGTCGTAAGAGGCGACTAACGGGATCGGGTGGTCAGGCTCGCTGACTTGGTTGACACACGTCATCGTATCCCATTTGCGTAGATCGATGCTCATGCTATTGATCACGGGGTTGTTTGGCCCAGATTCTATTATTTGCAGACCGCTGCCATATAGCTAGAGTGCTGCGTTACTATTTCACATACAACTACCAGCTCTTTTGAAATGAGCAATTCCAACAATATCACGGCCAGGGACACTAGAAATTGACACCACACATTGTAGTCCACCTTCCCAACTCTTTTGCATCTATGCGTCATATTGGACTGCTACATATTCAAGTTCTCCCTATTCTAAATTCATGTTCTTCTCATTTCTGGTGTCCCCGTCGTGATATTGCTGTAATATTGCTAAAAGCGGCGTAAAATTAAACTCACTCACTCATTCTCTTGTTTTCAGTTTGACGTCTTCGGCGATGTAAATCACCATCACCCCTGAAAAAGCCAGTACACCACGAGATATATTGGTTGCCATCGCCAACAGCAACATCCACCAGTAACCGACCCGTTGTGTCCCAAAAAATTGATGTAGCTGTGATGAATGAAAACCATATTGATCTGCCATACTCGTCGCTGTAAAGCCAGCCCGATCATTTCAAACTCTTCACCATGCCGACCTTCGGAGATGGCATTGTAGTGATGTCGTCTTTGAAAGGAGTCGTCGTATTAGTTGTTGCTGTAACGTTCCTACTGTCAGCGTTGCTGTGGAGCCTCCCTGGGGATAATGAACACGCGCAGTGGAGAGTCTCATCACAACAAGCCTCCTCGGCGGCGAACCCTGTCAAGGAAAGAGTAAAGAAGTCAGCTCAGATTAAAGAAACATGTAAAGTTATGACGCCGTCCAAAGACGATATGAGGCTTTTAAAGCTTCTTTCGCGGGATTCTAATAAAGATTCGGATCAAGGGAAACATAATAGTGGCATAAATGAGCAAGTTGATGTGACTAGACTGGCCACATGTTCAGTTCTGGTTGGCTGTGATGGACGAGAATCGGTTACATGCAAAACAAATGTCTGTTCTCATTTCACGGTTAAAATGGGATCCCCAAGCCATATCATACACGATGTGTCTCCTGACGCTCTTGGAGAGATTGTAAGGCTTCGAGGAAGCAACATAACTGGAATCGATGTAATGTGCGACCAGGGAAATACAAAAACCGTCTCGGATAATCACTGGCAGAGTGTGATAATTCGGCGCCGCCGCAAATGTCAACGTGAAGAGAACATAACCAAATATCCCCAAAACATCCATATAATTAATGTAAGGTTCCTTTCACGGTGGGAGCTTTTCGCCAGGATGAAGCGGTTAAGTGAGCTGGTCGCGTCCGAACCACAGCATGAATTGAAAGTGTTAGATTTCTCGAAGTACCAGAGCCTTGTGTGGGAGGACAATGACAATCTTAGGGCTCTTCTCCAGGGGCAAGTTGCTCAAAATGATTCCAAACCCACTCTCATTGACATCGCAAAACAACAAGGATTCAATGTAAGAGTATTTGATTTATCAGAAGAGGATTATCATCGCTCTCTTGACTTGAAACATATTTTAGAGAACAGCAGCACAGAGTGTTTGTTTGTTGGAGATCGTGTAAAACCTTTTGCTGACATCCCATCATGTGAATGTTCTATTTACCAAGGGGCTGAATATACTCCTGAACAAAAGTTGGAAGAATTGCAAAAGTGCTTATCCAGCATTAATGGCATTCCCACCACAAACAAGGTGTTGACGATGACATTTTTAGAAAACACACATTGGGAATTTTCTATTGAAAAGGCAGTAGATGATGCTATTACTGACATTATCAACAGTGTCATCCGCGACGACATTGATTCCATCGTATTACTGATGAGCGACGTGGGCAACCCATCCTTCTCTCGACTCGACCAATCGCTATTCATGCAAACCCAGGCTTCAAATCCCTTTCTTGCTATTTTCTATCCTTCATCTTCTGAGAATGAAAGTAAACTGGCAGTTCTTGCTCAGAACAGAGATAAATTGATTTCTGTTGAAGACATTCATCTAACGATTCTGGATTTCATTTCTTCAGTTCCGACTGTTGACAACGGAAATAAACTCGAAGGCTCTCCCAGTCGATACCGTGGACTATCTTTGTTGAGATCCATAATCCCTTCCCGTTCAACCAAACAACTCGGAGTAAGACCTCCCAGTTTCCCCATATGTGAGTCGCGACAACTACGCTATCCTAATGATACCATCCAGGCTGCATTTGCCGAGACTGTCGTGGGCTTCATGAACAATTACATACAAGACAGGATGAAGACAGATAAAAGGATTAGAAACAGCTGTCGTCCAGTAATCGGTGTAAGATTTCTTAATGTGCGTAAGTCTCACCAACACGGCCGAAGCGTTACTTTGATGGATTTAGAAATAAGGGCCGTTTCCACAAAGAACGTGATACCGTTAAAGGATGTTACTGTGACCTTGAAACAAGAATCCCACAGCAACCATTCCTTAGAAGTCAACACGAAAGACGGAGGATTGAAGACGTTGCTTGAGGGGCACATCCTACCGTCCGTGTGTTCAGGTGACATGGATGTGAACTTTTCACTAATCGCGAAGTCAAAAATCCCCTTATTTCTACGAAGCGCCGTAAGCTTTGGCGCAAAACCACGAATGATTAGCGTTCATGGAGAATGTCTATTTCTGCTGGTGCGTGGTTTTGCTGACAGCGCTGGGTACTATGTCATGAACGTTTGTGATGATAGGCAGTACGACTTCGTCTTCAGCGGCCGACTGATCAACGTGTTTTCATTTGTCACGTTACCAGTGAAGTTAACGGTAAAACCTGGCCAGGTGCACTTTGTGACAGCGTTTGTTAAGGCGTCCTACTTCGTCCATGAACTGTTCTTCCACTATGAAACACATCATCATATGACACTACTCTGACACCTGTCACATATGGCATTACTCAGATACCTGTCACATATGGCATAACTCTGATACCTGTCACGTATGATTATTACTATGAAACTTGTCCACATATGACATTACTCGCGATATGACATCTGTCCACATATGACATTACTATTAAACTGAAATATATACGACATGACATTATGGAACACATATGTCACCTGTTCAATTACAAATATAGTATTGTTATGAAACGCGAAATACGTTATTTATAAGCAAGACATGGGGTGTGGGGGATTAACAGTCGTATGTGTCATTAAATGGCAGGCGTATACGTATGGCATTTCCATGGACGTGTCTTTATACTGATCAAGAACTAAGCCACACATACGCACGCACACACACACACGCACACGCACACACATACATACACACGCGCGCGCACACACACACACTTGCAGACAGACGCATAACGTGGTATGCTCAAATTTTCGACACTTGCAGTGTTTCATGTTTCCAAAATAAATATGTTGCCTCAAGTATATTCTGATTGGATTTAAACAACTATCAACCGCATGTACCAACTTATACTGAGGCAAATAGGCACTTGGAATGTGTGTTTCTTGGTAGAATCCCTGATGAAAGTTTACCCGAAGAATGCCCAATATGTATCTTATTGGGTTGTTGTAATACAAAACATTATCACTGTACCTAAGGTGATGCTGGTATTGTGCGTTACCAGCATCCCAACATGGCGGCAGGTAAGATCGCTTGGCGATTATTTCCCTCGAATTAGCAGTCTTCCACGTGTATACAATCAACATTATTTAACACACTGATAAACCTTGATGGTGCAAATACATTCAAGTATTTTTAAAATCGAGCGAGGATGTCGGTAACTCAAAGTCTGGATGTCGGTTGAGTTACCGACATCCTCTCTCGATTTTAACAATGCTTATTCTTCAACACATAGACATTAATAAGCAAACTCAGTGCATTGAATGTATTTGAATACCGCACAAAATAGTACATGTATTTACATGTATGTAGCAGTGATCACCGGTGTCGCGTGAAGTTTGGTTTTTCATAGTGAAGTTTCACCATGTTTCAAAGTTCCTTCTGTGAATGATATCAAGGAACACGTTTAAACGTCGACTGGTTCGATATGCTGTCCGCTCCAAACAATCCAAAGAGGCATTCACACTTTGGCACATAACGTAATTATACAACCTGTCACTCTGGATGAAACCTTGTTTCGCCACTTGCAACCATATAACGAGTGAAAACATTTGACATCACCATCACGAAAGGAGGCAAACACTTCCATCAGGAAAACTGCTATGACCTCCGACGTTTATTGGGTGCCATAGTTATTGTTATGGAGGGCTGTCTTCCAAAAGTCCAGACAGTAGACGAAGCATATGATATTGAGATACAAGGAGGGAGCTATGAACACAAGTCCGTCAAGACAATTCTCTGGTGCACAAATCACTCACTGCTATGGCTACATTCCACAAGTACCGTTTTGATATCCTTCAGCACCGACACAGTTATTTTGTCCATCTGTTTCCTTACAAGGAGCCAGAACATGGCTCCCTAACTAGGATCTCTTGCGAGAACCCATCCAGATTAGCTACAATGAAGAAAATGCCTCCAGCATCGATAGCAAACGTGTATCAGAGTGGACTAGGATTAGGTTGAAAATCGATAATTTTGATTTCTTTTGATATTATGTCATGTTTTGCTTTGTGAAGCTCAGAGCTCACCAGCCAAACCCTTTCCAAGATGGAAATGTCACAGTTATTGTGACTCTGTATCCATGGCCTACTGTTCATCGACTTACGTTGCTAGATTGTGCCTTGTACTTTATGTACTGGGTGAAACAGTGACGGCTATTGTGATGTTTGTTTGGCCTATCGTACATCTACTATGCTGAATAGTACGGTGACGGGTAGTTTGATATTTCAGTCATGAACTGTTAGATTGAAAGTCTACGGTATTGGATGAATCGGTGACGATTGATGTAGTTCGTGTTTCATGTCCTATCGTACATCAGCTATATTGTATGGAACACTGGCGGTTATTGTGATGTTTGGTTCACTTTCTATCGTACCTGTATTATATGGAACACTGACTGATGTTTGGTTCATGTTCTATCGTACCTGTATTGTTATTATGATGTTTGGATCGTACCGATGGAACACCACACCGACGGTTATTGTGATGTTTGGTTCACTTTCTATCGTACCTGTATTGGATGGAACACTGACGGTTATTGTGATGTTTGGTTCACTTTCTATCGTACCTGTATTATATGGAACACTGACGGTTATTGTGATGTTTGGTTCACTTTCTATCGTACCTGTATTGGATGGAACACTGACGGTTATTGTGATGTTTGGTTCACTTTCTATCGTACCTGTATTGGATGGAACACTGACGGTTATTGTGATGTTTGGTTCACTTTCTATCGTACCTGTATTATATGGAACACTGACGGTTATTGTGGTGTTTGGTTCACTTTCTATCGTACCTGTATTGGATGGAACACTGGCGGGTATTGTGGTGTTTGGTTCTTTTTCTATCGTACATGTATTGGTTGGAACACTGTCGGTTATTGTGATGTTTGATGTTTGGTTCACTTTCTATCGTACCTGTATTATATGGAACACTGTCGGTTATTGTGGTGTTTGGTTCACTTTCTATCGTACCTATATTATATGGAACACTGACGGTTATTGTGGTTCACTTTCTATCGTATGTTTGGTTCATTGTGGTGTTTTTCTATCGTACCTGTATTGGATGGAACACTGGTGCGTATTGTGGTGTTTGGTTCACTTTCTATCGTACCTGTATTGGACGGAACACTGTCGGTTATTATGATGTTTGGTTCACTTTCTATCGTACCTGTATTGGATGGAACACTGTCGGTTATTGTGGTTTTTGGTTCATTTTCTATCGTACATGTATTATATGGAACACTGTCGGGTATTGTGGTGTTTGGTTCACTTTCTACCGTACCTGTATTGGATGGAACACTGACGGGTATTGTGGTGTTTGGTTCATGTTCTATCATACCTCTATTATATGGAACACTGGAGGGTATTGTTGTGTTTGGTTCACTTTCTATCGTACCTGTATTATATGGAACACTGGCGGGTATTGTGGTTTTTGGTTCATTTTCTATCGTACCTGTATTATATGGAACACTGGCGAGTATTGTGGTGTTTGGTTCATTTTCTACCGTACCTGTATTGGATGGAACACTGACGGGTATTGTTGTGTTTGGTTCATGTTCTATCGTACCTGTATTATATGGAACACTGGCGGGTATTGTGGTGTTTGGTTCATTTTCTATCGTACCTGTATTATATGGAACACTGACGGTTATTGTGATGTTTGGTTCATGTTCTATCGTACCTGTATTGGATGGAACACTGACGGTTATTGTTGTGTTTGGTTCATTTTCTATCGTACCTGTATTATATGGAACACTGACGGTTATTGTGGTGTTTGGTTCATGTTCTATCGTACCTGTATTATATGGAACACTGGCGGGTATTGTGGTGTTTGGTTCATGTTTTATCGTACCTGTATTATATGGAACACTGACGGTTATTGTGATGTTTGGTTCATGTTCTATCGTACCTGTATTATATGGAACACTGGCGGTTATTGTGATGTTTGGTTCACTTTCTATCGTACCTGTATTGGATGGAACACTGACGGTTATTGTGGTGTTTGGTTCACTTTCTATCGTACCTGTATTATATGGAACACTGACGGTTATTGTGATGTTTGGTTCACTTTCTATCGTACCTGTATTATATGGAACACTGTCGGTTATTGTGGTGTTTGGTTCACTTTCTATCGTACCTGTATTATATGGAACACTCTCGGTTATTGTGATGTTTGGTTCACTTTCTATCGTACCTGTATTGGATGCAACACTGGCGCGTATTGTGGTGTTTGGTTCTTTTTCTATCGTACCTGTATTGGATGGAACACTGTCGGTTATTGTGATGTTTGGTTCACTTTCTATCGTACCTGTATTATATGGAACACTGTCGGTTATTGTGGTGTTTGGTTCACTTTCTATCGTACCTGTATTATATGGAACACTGGCGCGTATTGTGGTGTTTGGTTCACTTTCTATCGTACCTGTATTATATGGAACACTGGCGCGTATTGTGGTGTTTGGTTCACTTTCTATCGTACCTGTATTGGATGCAACACTGGCGGTTATAGTGGTGTTTGGTTCACTTTCTATCGTACCTGTATTATATGGAACACTGTCGGTTATCGTGGTTTTTGATTCATTTTCTATCGTACATGTATTATATGGAACACTGGCGGGTATTGTTGTGTTTGGTTCACTTTCTATCGTACCTGTATTATATGAAACACTGGCGGGTATTGTGGTTTTTGGTTCATTTTCTATCGTACCTGTATTATATGGAACACTGGCGGGTATTGTGGTGTTTGGTTCACTTTCTACCGTACCTGTATTGGATGGAACACTGGCGGATATTGTTGTGTTTGGTTCATGTCCTATCACATATCGATTCTTTTGGATTGCACATTTACTATGTTGGATCAAACAGTCACGGGTGTTGTGTTTGTTTCATGGCCTATCGTACATCCACTATTCTTGGAAGAGCCGTGACGGGAATTGTTGTTTTGTTCCATAGCTATGACATGGAATCCCGTTTCAATCTCTGGAAAGGGAGTAATGGCGGGAAAGCTATTTTTTAACCGGTTCTGGTATTGATCCGTCTAGGCCGACCGATGATTTGAAGCATTGCCCTGAGACCGGCAAGTAGGGAACGTTTACATGATCAGCACAACAAACAAATTTTGATTCTTATTGGCCGCGTACCATTTGTACCCTGGATTAGAAACAAAAACTATACTACCCATCAAAAGTTTAGACTCACTTAAAGCATTCACTATATGCTATGTATATTTATATGGTTACATCAAAGATGAACTTGTCCACTAACTTAAGGGAACCATCTGCAGACCTTATGCAGATGAACTGCACGAGGATCATGCATCAAATTGCTGAAAAGCAAGGGCACATATCGTTAATGTGAACTGCTGCGTTTTGGTGTAAAGTTTTGTTAAGAATTCACCAATTTTCACTGGGTTTCATCATTTATTGAACTCATGACAATAATCTGTTCAACATTACGAATTTGTTTTACAATACATCAGTTAATGTGTAAACAGTACCTTTAAACAGTGATGTAATGTTTTGCAAAACCTAGTTCAGAAAAGTTGACGGAAGTAAGTGGCTACATTTACGCTAATGAGGCTAAACTTTTGATGGGTAGTATATGTTGTAAAACATTCTGATTAATATGCGATTTTAAAGAGATTTATTTCTACTTATTCTCATCATGTATATTCAATATCTCCTCAAGCAATAATATCATAAACTATTTCAATTTGTTTATTGTACTAAATAAAGCAACACTCATGTGGTGAACTGGGTAACAAAACAGTGAACTTGTAAACTCACAAACAATCGCAACAGATTTATATAATCTCAGTTTTTGAAACCACCACGGATGTTCATCAGATTTTCCTTCGACATCATACATGTCTGTAATGGCTACATAAAATCCACACGAACGAGGTTACGTCAGTAAAGTATGTGAAAATATTGCAGTGGAAACCAAAGGCATCATACGTCATCATGTTCAAACAACAAAGAGACAAACTGGAACAACGTCATCATCATCATCATCATCATCATCATCATCAAATATTCACTAGCCTCTCACTAAAAAAAGGTAATTTTAAATGTTACCACCACAAAAGGCAGAGGTGATACCAGGTTACCAAACGTAAAACGCTCGGGAAAGGCGCCTGTGAAAACCATGAACTATCACTCGTAATAATCTGAGTGAATTCCTGCACAAAGATATGTCGAGATGACCTGAGTGGAACAACTGGCCTCGGCTGTTGTGTCAGCTGACCGTGTCCCGTCATTCATACAGATCATTCTCCATGGTCACAAGGCTGCTCTTGTCGGTGTCTGCGGTTGCCTTCAGCTTTGTCATCCTCATCACGACATCCTCCGGAACCCCATTGACATATTTCCGGCAGTCTACCGTAGCATACTCGCTTGAAGTGTCGACTTCCTCGGCAATGTGCTGGTTATCCAGATGGCTGGAGTGGATCCCACTATCTCTGAACTGACACACAGTCGTCTCGCCCTTCAGGGTCCTCACGCGTAACCGGCTGCTGCTGCTGAAACAAATACATCCATTATCTATATTAAGTAACTCAAAGTGAATGTACAAAATACAAGAAAATCCTTTGAGCGTTTACATTGTATCAATTTCACTCAAATACTTTGATTTCTGTGAATGTAAAAACAAATCTCGATGGTGTTAATGATTATGATTAAGGTGTGAGACAGGTATTTGCTGGTACATGTGCTTGCTACGCAACATTTTATCTCTTTCTACGAGATGCTATGACGTTTTGGAAGCCATAACAAAAAAGGAATGGACATGTGTTTTGGTTATTGCCAAAATCAAACTTTTACTGAAGGAATAATGATTGGTTGGTTTGCTGATTAACGCTGCACTCAGTAATATTCCAGCTATATGGCGGCGGCCTGTAAATAATCGAATCAGGACCAGACAATCCTGTGAACAACATCATGAGCATCAATCTACACAAGTGAGATATGATGACATGAGTCAACCAAGTCAGCGAGTCTGACCACCCGATCCCGATAGTCGCCTCTTACGGGTTGCTGAAGGCCAATTCTAACCCGGATCTTCACGTTTGTGAAAGAATAATGAGACTAATTACACAATAACCACCAGAAACTGGAAGTGTTTGGTTTTATGCCATATATATGTCATACCACGGGCAAATCAATTCAGCAGAAACCCAACATGGACAAAAGACGTTTACATCACGCGTTAAATTCCTGGGAAACAGGGATTTTCTAGGAAATAATTCACGATACAGCTGTGTGAGTAATGGTATCTGTCTCACAGTCCCGGAACCACATTATTTTCCCTACAGCCTAACCACCCTGCAATGCTAAAGCCCTAAATGAAGCAAGTCTAGATTTCCTCAAGTTCTCACTGGGGCTCCTTTTCAATTTAAATGGGTTTATTTGTTACCATCAAAATCATTTATATATACATTCAGAGACAAAGCGTTGGTCTAGAGCACTGGCGGCGGTATGAGATTATATTCACTCCAATTGCAGATCAGTTACACTAAGTTACGGTAAGTTACGGTAAGTTACGGTTAATATGAAGATGACAATATGACAAAACAACGTGTCTACCCACCAGCAGAAATATGCGATGACAACTCCGGCAACAAAACACACAACTGCAACAGCCACGAGACAGCTGGCCAGCACCGTCACTGAAACTGGAGAACATTACTGCAGTTGCCTACAACTGATCAGCTACAACTACACATCATTGTATCGAACCTTGATGTATCGAACATGCGGTCGAAGTACAAGCTGTGTCCCTGGATATTTAGTCATCATGTTCCCGGTGTGTCGAACCTCGAGGTACTTACGTAGGTCCCATATTCGACACAACGGTGATTTGCTTATATCATATTACCAGAGAAACTTAAAATGGATTACCAAGTTCATGCTTAGACCACAAAAATATCACTTGGTCCACGTACCAATAGGTACTTTATATGTTTGAAAAGATTCTTTCTCGTTTTGCGGAATTGAAAAAAATAAATTGATATTTTAAGTAAAGCGTAGGACGAGTTCAAACCCCATTTTGATAAAAAAAATAATTAAATACCTTGTGTTGTACTCTCTGAAGCTCGATGTGGAAACGTTTCGCAGTGTAGAGATAAGGTTGTTTTGTCTGTAAAACATGACAAGTAAGTGCGTTATTGTCGCTTTGACTAGCATTTGAAAGACTGAATACATTGCATATATTCTATCACAACACAATGATGACAAAGGCTGCCAACATTACAGAGGCCGACGATGTAAAGGGATGACAATGCCGAGTTCCACCACTAAGAACACATTACGGAGAGAGGATCCATAACAATACCAAAGGGTGAGTGAGTGAGTATGTTTTTACGCCGCCTTTAGCATCATTCTAGAAATATCACGGCGGGGGACACCAGAAATGGGGTTCACACATTGTACCCATGTGGGGAATCGAACCCGGGTCTTCAGCGTGATGAGAGAACTCTTTCACCACGAGGCTACCCCACCGCCCCAATACCAAAGAGAGTGACTTTAGAGTCAAGACATAAGTACAGAGGTATGTCAATACACAACGATCACAGAGAGCTTTACTGCTACAAAAATGCACCGCAACCCTATGGTGCCATAGAGTCACACTATTGCAGTTACAACACTACCTACTGATCACTTAGAGATGTTTTGTGTGAGTGATGCAGCACTTCATGATGATCATAAAAGTGGCAATGTGACAGATATCATAGCTCCATTATGCTTATAGAGACACTAGAACAGAGATCTGCCTCAACACAACGATCACATAATGTATTATTACTATAAATATGCATGAATGACAGGATGACGTTCATAAACACTGATTGATTGATTGTTGTTTAACGCCGCACTCAGCAACATTCCAGCTATAAGGCGGCAGTCTGAAATTAATCGAATCTGGACTAGACAATCCATTGATCAACAGCATGAGCATTGTTCTACGCAATTGGGATAATATGACATGTGTCATCCTAGTCAGCGGGCCTGACCACCCGATTCCGTTAGTCGCCTCTTACAAGCATGGATTACTGAAGATCAATTCTAACCCGGATCTTCACGGGTATACACAAACACACGTACCTGATGCCCGTAGTGAGAAACAGTACTCAGATGGGTCATCGTCAGCGCCACGTGATGAATTCCGTTTCTGCACAACAAAACTCCAAGGTCTGTCTTCATCAATAGGTTTTCCAATACTAGTAAATGAAACATTCCCAATATTTGCTGTAAAATCAGGGGTCAGTAAGTATATGTCAAACAGTTGCTGCATGGTAGGGTAGTGGCGCCTTGTGACTAGTAAATCCGGGCTGGAGTTGTTTACCGTTAACTGACAGACACACATAGACAGGTGAGGTTGCAGGTCTTTCGGGAGAAGACGGATGCTGCCCGCGGTGAAGGTGAACTCGTCTTGAGGACGCCGACATATGTTAATCACTGGTAGACAACAGAATGTGTTACATTTGTATTAATTCAATAATTTGATATGATACTCAAGATTGGTTAATGCTTTGTGTTAAGGGAGTGACAATGCCGAGTTGCAAGAACATATTGCACAGAGAACAAATACAATACCACAGGGAGTGACACTGTGACAGAGATCGACACAATGAATACATAGAGGGACATTAGTACAGAGATCGACACAATGAATACATAGAGGGACATTAGTACAGAGATCGACGCAATGAATATATAGAGGGACATTAGTACAGAGATCGACACAATGATTATATAGAGGGACACTAGTACAAAGATCCACACAGTGATTATATAGAGTGACATTAGTAGAGAGATCCACACAGTGAATATATAGAGTGACATTAGTACAGAGATCGACACAATGATTATATAGAAGGGGATTAGTACAGAGATCCACACCGTGATTATAAAGAGGGACATTGGTACAGAGATCCATACAGTGATTATATAGAGGGACATTAGTGCAGAGATCAACACAGTGAATATATAGAAGGACATTAGTACAGAGATCCACACAGTGAATGTAGAGAGTGACATTAGTACAGAGATCCACACAGTGCTTCTATAGAGGGACATTAGTACAGAGATCCACACAGTGACTATATAGAGTGACATTTGTATAGAGATCCACACAGTGATTATATAGAGGGACATAAGTACAGACATCCGCACAATGAATGAAGAGAGTGACATTAGTACAGAGATCTACACAGTGATCATACAGAGTGACATTAGTACAGAGATCGACACAATGAATGTAGAGAGTGACATTAGTACAGAGATCTACATCCATATAGAGTGACACACAGTGCTTCAGAGATATAGAGGGACATTAGTACAGAGATCCGCACAATGAATGTAGAGAGGGATATTAGTACAGAGATCTACACAGTGAATATATAGGGGGACATTAGTACAGAGATCGACACTATGAATGTAGAGAGTGACATTAGTACAGAGATCGACACAGTGATTATATAGAGTGACATTAGTACAGAAATCCACACAGTGACTATATAGAGGGACATTAGTACAGACATCCGCACAATGAATGTAGAGAGGGATATTAGTACAGAGATCTACACAGTGATTATATAGGGGGACATTAGTACACAGACCGACACTCTGAATGTAGAGAATGACATTAGTACAGAGATCCACACAGTGACTATATAGAGGGACATAAGTACAGAGATCGACACAATGAATGTAGAAAGTGACATAAGTACAGAGATCCACACAGTGATTATATAGAATGACATTAGTACAGAGATCGACACAATGAATGTAGACAGTGACCTTAGTACAGAGATCTACACAGTGATTATATAGAGTGACATTAGTACAGACATCCTCACAATGAAAGTAGAGAGTGACATTAGTACAGAGATCCACACAGTGATTATATAGAGTGACATTAGTACAGAGATCCACACAGTGATTATATAGAGTGACATTAGTACAGAGATCCACACAGTGATTATATAGAGGGACATTAGTACAGAGATCCACACAATGAAAGTAGAGAGGGACATTAGTACAGAGATCCACATAATTATTACTTAGAGTGACATTAGCACAGAGATCTACACAGTGATTATATAGAGTGACATCAGCACAGAGATCGGCACAATGAATGTAGAGAGTAACATTAGTACAGAGATCCAAACAATGATCATATAGTGTGACATTAGCACAGAGATCCACACAGTGATTATATAGTGTGACATTAGCACAGAGATCCACACAATGATTCTATAGAGTGACATTAGTACACAGATCCACATAGTGATTATATAGAGTGACAATAGCACAGAGATCCAAAAGGTGGTTATATAGACTGACATTACTACAGAGATCTACACAGTGATTATATAGAGTGACATTAGCACAGAGATCCACACAGTGATTCTATAGAGTGACATTAGTACAGAGATCCACACAGTGATTATATCGAATGACAATAGCACAGATATCCTCACAGTGATTATATAGAGGGACATTAGTTCAGAGATCTACACAGTGATTATATAGAGTTGCATTCGCACAGAGATCCACACAGTGATTATATAGAGGGACATTAGGGAGGAGATCGGCACAATGAATGTAGAGAGTGACATTAGTACAGAGATCCACACAGTGATTATGTAGAGGGACATTAGCCCAGAGATCCACACAGTCATTCTATAGAGTGACATTAGTACAGAGATCTACACAGTGAATATATAGAGTGACATCAGCACAGAGATCGGCACAGTGAATGTAGAGCTTGACATTAGTTCAGAGATCCACACTATGATTATATAGAGGGACATTAGTACAGAGATATACACAGTGATTATATAGAGTGACATTAGTACAGAGATCCACACATTGATTATTTAGAGTGATATTAGTGCAGAGGTCCACACAGTGATTATATAGATTGACATAAGTACAGAGATCCACACAGTGATTATATAGAGTGACATTATCACAGAGATCCACACAGTGATTCCATAGAGTGACATTAGTACAGAGATCCACTCAGTGATTATACAGAGTGACATTAGTACAGAGATCCAAACAAACAGTGATTATGATTATATAGAGTGACATTAGTACAGAGATCCACACAGTGATTATATAGAGTGACATTAGTACAGATATCTAAACAATGATTATATAGAGTGACATTAGTACAGAGATCTACACAATGATTATATAGAGTGACATTAGTACAGAGATCCACACAGTGATTATATAGTACAGAGAGTGATTATATAGAGTGACATTAGTACAGGATCTACACAGTGATTATTTTAAGTGACATTAGTACAGATATCCACACAATGATTATATAGAGTGACATTAGTACAGAGATCCAATCAGTGATTATATAGAGTGACATTAGTACAGAGACCCACACAGTGATAATATAGAGTGATGTTAGTACAGATTTCCACACAGTGATTATATAGAGTGACATTAGCAGAGAGATCCACACTGTGATTCTATAGAGTGACATTATCACAGAGATCGGCAAAGTGATTATATAGAGTGACATTAGTACAGAGATACACACAGTGATTATATAGTTTGATATTAGTACAGAGATCTACACAGTGATTATTTAGAGTGATATTAGTACAGAGATCCGCACAGTGATTATATAGAGGGACATTAGTACAGAGATCCGCACAGTGATTATATAGATTGACATTAGCACAGAGATCCACACTGTGATTATATATAGGAACATTAGTACAGAGATCCACGCAGTGATTATATAGGGTGACATTAGTACAGAGATCCACACAGTGATTATATAGAGGGACATTAGTACAGAGATCCACGCAGTGATTATATAGAGTGACATTAGTACAGAGATCCACACAGTGATTATATAGAGGGACATTAGTACAGAGATCTACACAGTGATTACATAGAGTGACATTAGCACAGAGATCGGCACAATGAATGTAGAGAGTGACATTAGTACAGAGATCGACACAATGATTATATAGAGGGACATTAGTACAGAGATATACACAGTGATTATATAGATTGACATTAGTACAGAGATCCACACATTGATTATTGAGAGTGATATTAGTGCAGAGGTCCACACAGTGATTATATAGATTGACATTAGTACAGAGATCCACACAGTGATTATATAGAGTGACATTATCACAGAGATCCACACAGTGATTCTATAGAGTGACATTAGTACAGAGATCCACTCAGTGATTATACAGAGTGACATTAGTTCAGAGATCCAAACAGTGATTATATAGAGTGACATTAGTACAGAGATCCACTCAGTGATTATATTTAGTGACATCAGTAGCGATACAGTGTTCGTAAAGAGGGACAATATTGCATCCATCAACGATCAAGGAATGGAGAGAGTGATATTATAATATTACAGAGATTGATCTTTCTTTTGTTCCATCATATCCATTACATTGTACTTGTGTTATATTTACCCGGTAATAAAAGTTCAAACACAAAACGGTTATTGTAGCAAGCAAACATTTTTTTGCATTCTAAATTCAAGACATTTAATTCTATTAGAATCATATATGATTGACGGGTCTGATGTGTCGAAGCTATTCCAACCATAAACAACCTATTACCATGTTTACTTACATTGAAATCCTTTATCGGGACATATTCCACAAGCGGGTCGACTGTACACTGTACGTGAAGAAGAACCAAATACATACATACGGTTGGCGTAATTAAGGTTGCTGTGGTCACTTTTGTAAATGCAATTCAAAAACAAACTACGGAAATAGCGAACTAGAATTATTGGTCCTTTTTTATTCGTTATAACTTTGTTTTATGTATTTACAAACTGGCGGATACTGGCATTTCAGATATTTCTCAGCGTGTCAGTTTCATATTGGAGGAAAGGACATTGCCATGTAGTCCGTAGAGGTTTAACAAGTCGGTGAACGTCAACAAAAGTTATAATGCATATATACTCATGCCAATAATGGTTGTCGACCCCTTCAATTTTTTTCATTGGAGATTGTGTGTGTGTGGGTGTGAGGTGTGGGGGTTGGGGTGGGGAGGGGGTGACAACCATTATTGGCATGAGTATAATCCTGTAACTATGGTATGGGGATTCAGATATTCGTACACAGAAACATGGGTTTCCAGCTCAGCTTATTACGGCGCCTAAAGCTTCGTGTAATGTAATTAGAACGTACACTTTTTGTTACACTATTGTATCAACAAGATGAAGTACTACTACTGCTACTAGTACCGCTAATCGTACTGCTAGTACTACTAGTACTTCTTCAACTACTGAGTATACAATACATACAGTAACTCACACAGTCAGGTGTTACATGAAGTATTACATCAGTTTGGATATACAATATTTTTAATGCATTATTTCTCCAGCTTGCTGCATGTTTTAAATATAATGATAGGCGAAAAATGTCGGTATCATTTCTAGAAGTCATAAAAGTAGGGAATGCAATTTCTAGTGATTTACTTAAGTACTTTTTTGGTATATACAGAATTCTCAGGTTAGTAAGAGTTGGACATGTAAAGACAAATTGGATTTGATTCTCTATACCTCCTTTACATAACATACGAATCCTTTCATTTTTATCAATTGGTTAATTATCCGATGTAGTTAACCCATTATTCATTCTCGGAGACCATTTAGAGATAAAAATACACATATACACTCTACAATTATTTATCAATATCGACCCATGTACATTTTATTCATGTAGTACACGAATTTCAAAAGTCGAGAACGTCAATTAGTTTCAGGATTTTGTATACTATCAACTTACTGTGAAAGATGATAATAAAGTAGCCGGCCGCCATTACACTGTTCGTGTCCATGTCCAGTGTTTAGTGTTCATGTACAGTATCCCTGCCTCCTTCTCAGAAACACGTGGTCACCGTAAGAAGGTCTCGTGAAGATTAGCATGCACACCATGCATATCACATCCCAGAGAATGTGCATTAAATGTTCTCTGTTCACACTGAGTAAGGATCATATCAGTTTGACACAGCACTATTATCGTGGGAACATGTTACAAAGATGAATATGGGATGCGGAAGGTGATATCATCAGTCTGATACTTCCAGTGTCAGAGTGGGTGGTCACTGCACCTGTTGTTCAAATAAGGACACGACAGTGGATACAGAAATATTACTGACGTTGGGCATGTCTCCTCTCGATGTATCCCTTTTAAGGCCCGCAAAAACAACTATTCGTGGGCACAAGTCATGTGTATATTATACCCCTAGTCAAGGCTCACAGGCCAAGTGAAATTGTAACCCTCAGTCGGGCACACGTTATGTGTATATCACACCCCTAGTCAGGGCACATTCCAAGTGAATCTGTTACCCTCAGTCGGGCACATGTTATGTGTATATCACACCCCTAGTCAGGGCACATTCCAAGTGAAATTGTTACCCTCAGTGCGGCACATGTTATGTGTATATCACACCCCTAGTCAGGGCACATTCCAAGTGAAATTGTTACCCTCAGTTGGGCACAAGTTATGTGCATATTGTACACCTAGTCAGGGCACATTCCAAGTGAAATTGTTACCCTTAGTGGGGCACATGTTATGTGTATATCACAACCCTAGTCAGGGCACATTCCAAGTGAAATTGTTACTTGTGATCCAACCCTAGTCAGGGCACAGGTCAAGTGAAATTGTTACTCTCAGTGGGGCACATGTTATGTGTATATCACACCCTGAGTCAGGGCACAGGTCAAGTGAAATTGTTACCCTCAGTGGGGCACATGTTATGTGTATATCACACCCTTAGTCAGGGCACATTCCAAGTGAAACTGTTACTCTCAGTGGGGCACATGTTATGTGTATATCACACCCTGAGTCAGGGCACAGGCACATGTTATGTGTATATCACACCCTGAGTCAGGGCACAGGTCAAGTGAAATTGTTACCCTCAGTGGGGCACATGTTATGTGTATATCACAACCCTAGTCAGGGCACACATTCCAAGTGTACTTGTGACCCTCAGTGGGGCACATGTTATGTGTATATCACACCCTGAGTCAGGGCACAGGTCAAGTGAAATTGTGACCCTCAATTGGGCACATGTTATGTGTACATTACACCCGTAGTGAGGGCACAGGTCATGTAAAGATATTACCCTCAGTCATGGCACAAGTCATGTGTACATTACACCCGTAGTGAGGGCAAGGTCATGTGAAGATGTTACAGGTCATGTGAAGATGTTACAGGTCATGTGAAGATGTTACAGGTCATGTATTTCTATAATTGTTCTAAACTATTACTGGTTTGGTTACACATGGTACGTATTACACATATTATTATTGTCAATAACACGTGACCATCTGACATTCTGTGTGTTCAGATGGGCCGGAGTGGGGCTTCGGGTTTTATCGGAAAAATAGAATTGTCCCAGAATTTTCTTGCACTCATTGACACACTGTTAATAAATAATGATCTACCTGAAAATTACAGTGTTGCCAGATAGGTTGTTCAAGAATCTTTAGACTCATGGCATTTTAATTTTCGAAAAAAAACCCTCTCGTTTTGAGGTTCAGTGGCATGTGTCAGTTACATACCATCAATACCACATGCCCTTAACATGCCTGAAAACGTGCATACCATCATTAACATATGATACCTACATAAAATCGTTAACACGTGATGCTTACATAACGACACTTGACACACACAAACAAATCGCTCTAGCATCCCCTAAAAACAAGTGAAATCGTTTCATCAGCAATTTACACAATGCATGCCTTCACAGCACAATCCAGATGTATACCATGCCGTCCCTTGAGCAATCACACGCTATGATCAGTACATGTTATAACAACACAAGCACATGTCATAGCTAACAAATACCAACAATATGCTTTACTGTTGAAATGTGACACAGTTATTAGTATACTTCCTTTCCAAATGTCCAGTATGTTTGTTCATGAAACATTAACACCGTAATGTGCAACTGAAGGGACCGAAATTGTTTGTTTTTTGTCTGTGCCGTCATAACAAAAAGTCCTGTTGACAATCGCTGATCCAGCTACACTGATTGTTCGCTGATTAAGGCTCGTGCTGCTGTCATCTTCTCATAATAACCCATGGAGACAGCCAGATGATTGTCAGTGAAACTAATCATCGTCAATTGCTCATAACGCACTTGGTGTACAGATCACGAGCAGTTTCATAATGTTACACATAGCGAAATGGACATAGCTACTCTCTGTCTATCAGTCCTGCTTTGTAAGTATTGACCTTGTTTATTTAACTGATTATTAAAGGTAAATGGGAATTAATTTTCTGGTATCTATATAAATATGAACTTTAATATGGATTCCTTTCAATTGTCTTATCTGATGGAGAGCAGTTATGTTCATTTCGCTATATATTACATTATCAGACTCCCCATGCTCTATACATTTAGTGGGTTATGAGCTATTGACGATGATAGATATCACTAGTCAACAGTGCCGTGGCTCAGGATGCGGAAATGGGTACATCCTGCTGACATATCACTCAGGCATGCCTCCTTCAAGAGTACAACGCTGGCTCATCAGAGCGAACCACAGTTATGTCTGGTGTACCTGGTTTCACAACGATCCTATTTTCGGGAATTTGGAGTTTCTTTGTTAACATTGTTAACCTTATTTCGATTTCTTGGATCCTGAATGTCAATGACTCACAGGCTTTATGATGCTCTATCATGAGCTCGAATATAAATTTCACTCTGATTATGATCCATGGTACATGAATGTCAGTGGTTGGTGTGTTTCTAGGATTATTGGACGGTTGGTCTAGTGGTTAGTTCGTTCTTTAACTCCGCCCTCAGCAATATTCCAGCTATATGGCGCCGGTTTGTAAATAATCAATAGCATGAACATCGATCTTCGCAATTGACAGGTGTGAGACAGGTATTTGCTGGTACATGCGCTTGCTACGCAACATTTATCTCTTTCTACGAGATGCTAAGACGTTTTGGAAGCCATTACAAAAAAGAATGGACATGTGTTTTGGTTATTGCCAAAATCAAACTTTTACTGAAGGAATAATGATTGGTTGGTTTGCTGATTAACGCTGCACTCAGCAATATTCCAGCTATATGGCAGCGGCCTGTAAATAACCGAATTAGGACCAGACAATCCTGTGAACAACATCATGAGCATCAATATACACAAGTGAGATATGATGACATGAGTCAACCAAGTCAGCGAGTCTGACCACCCGATCCCGTTAGTCACCTCTTACGACAAGCATGGGTTACTGAAGATCAATTCTTACCCGGATCTTCACGGGTCGTGAGTTTCATCGATGATTGATCAATGTCAATAAGTGCTTGCTTGTTTCTTCTAACGTCAAATGGAAATGGAACTGTTCAAAACGACCTTAAGTTATTTAATTATTAAGCATTTGAAAGAAAGTATTATGATAAGAGTAATTAGATTGACCATAAGACGCATACCTGCTCTCACAAATGTAATTAAACGTATCATTTCCTGCTTTCCCATATACCTCATGTCAGTGTTATTGTTTCACAAGAGATAGCTAGACGATATATCGCAAAGAACCGCGAAGAACGAGGCATGGTTCATTTAACGATAACACAACGTTTTAACATCAGTAATTTCTGGAAATTAGTACCTACGATCGATGCTATGACGTAGTAAATGGGAGATGCTATTTTCGAGAAGGTTGTAAATTGATCTTATTAAATGTTTCTGGGCAACACAGTTACACGCAATCACCATTAAAATGTGGACATGAGACATGGCAGTCTGTAGTGGGGGGAAATGACTGTCAATGACAGTCAGTTGTTTTGATGCTTGAGGAAATGTTCAGGAAACACCAATCTGTTACCAAAATGGACTTGATCGACATTGCCCAAGATCTGATTGTATTCAGAGAGTTACTTTTATTTAAGTACGGGAACATCTATTTTCAGAAAATAGTATCCATGTAGCAAATACAGTACCCGTGGCCGTTGTTTGTCTGACAATGAATAAGTGCTCCGCTCGTGGTTGTGTCATATATCTACATTGTCTCATTCTTTTTTTCCAGTGGCAATATCGCATGGCTGTCCAAAAGAACACGAAGACAACTTAAGTAAACAGTATTATATTATACATCTGGCCCGTTTATTTAAAGATGGTCGAGCATGCGTCTCTATAAAACGACTAAAACAATTTGTCAGTCTCGGAATGCAAACCATGTTAATTACCCCAGAAAGATATAATTGTTCCTAATGAGCTATGTAATGTTAATATATGCATGTTAAAGTAGTGTTGTCCTGAGATTCATTACGCATGTGCAGTTGATCTTTAGTAAAACTAGAACGCTATGTATCCACGCATATTCACGTCTAGAAGAGTAAAGGGTCTTGAGGTCACACGTTTTTCCACTTACGACAACTGTTACGAACTGGAGGTGGCATTTTAGAAGTTGGGAAGTACAATATAAACAAACTTTATAGATAACAACTTCTTTATGTTGTGAGTGTGACGTGTCAATACAGATTCTTGTATCGCTGTCAAGCAGATGAACTGCATGAATGACGTCTACTCACAAACATAAACACTACCGTCCTCAACATCCCACAACCAGTCCATCACTGCTGTCAGTCATCCCTGACGTTTGAAACCATTACATGTTATTCCAGCTCACATACTGACATAGACACAATATAGCTTATATTGAGAATATTTGCTTTCCTTTTTGTAATAATATGCTTTACGGAGCATGTTTACTTCTTCCTACAGAGGTGAGGTGAGGTGAAAGTGGGTTTTACGTCGTGCTTGAGAATATTTCGCTCATATGACAACGAGCATGCGTGTGTATGTGTATGTGCGGCTGCTTGTACTAGCTCAGACTGAAGCTGGTTTTATAGTGCTAGCCCACTGAAATACCATGCCGCAGTGAAGCATGAATACCCCACTCAGACTCATTATACTGACACCGAGCCCACCAGTCCTTGTTGTAACTAATTAATGCCGAGCACCAGGCAGGGACCAACAAGTACCATATTTTAACGTCTTTTGGTATGGTGCGGTCGGGGATCGAACCCACGACCTTCCGCTCTCCGGGCGGACGCTCTTACCACTACACCACGGAGGCGGTCTCCTACAGAGAAATTAACAGCTGTTAATGCGTTTAAGTGTTAATTGTGATTGCCCGTGAAGGTCCGGGTTAGAATCCATCTTCAGCAGTCCATGCTTGCTGCATGAGACGACTAATGGAGACACATCCCATCATATTTGAACTGAATAGATCGATGCTCATAATATCAATCACTTGATTGTTTTCTGGTTCAGATCGCCGTCATATAGCAAGAATATTGCTGAGAGCGGCATTCAACAACACCGCCTGGTCGATCTCCTTACATCAGTGTACCGTGAATATCTGGGTTAGAATTGATCTTTAGTAACTCGTGCTTGTCATAAGAGGCGACTAACGGGGCCGGGTGGTCAGACCTGCTCACTTAGTTGATACATGTCATCGTATCCCAACTGCGTAGATCGATGCTCATTCTGTTGATCACTAGAATGTCTGGTCCAGGCTCGATTATTTACAGACCGTCGCCATATAGCTGGAATATTGCTGAGTACTGCGTAAAACCTCACTCACTCACTCACTCACTCACTCACTCACTCACTCACTCACTCACTCACTCACTCACTCACTCACTCACACTCACTCACTCACTCACTCACTCACTCACTCACTCACTCACTCACTCACTCACATCAGTGGAACACAGTCCGGATTACCGACGTTTCACGGTATGACATTTTGTTGCAGTTTTTGACATCTGCCAAACCAACACGGAGGTAGCGAACGTTTCAGCATCCGGGTACCTCCGGCTCCGGGTCACGTCATCCCTACTGGACTGCAACTGTACCCTGTCCACGCCGCGTCCTGACCACCTCCACGTGGGGCTGTACACAGATGGATACTTCCCCCATAGCTTCAACCTGTTCGCAGGGCCGGTCAACAAGATAGCGGTCAACGCCGGGATAGTGGGCAAGGGCGTGGGGAACGGGGAGATCAGCACCACCCAACCCTGGCAGTTGAATCTAAACAGGAACTGGCATATCAAACAAGGCAGTCAGACTAGCCGGAATGAGAGTCTTTGTCTGGGATATAGCGTCAGTAGTAAGTAGAAGATGCACAGTGATAAAACATACAACTTTAGGGACTGACACGTCTTTATGGATGGTCAACTTAATCATTGTGCAATAGCGACGTTTCGGTGTTGATACTTATACCGTTTTCAAGCTAAAAGTAGAAGTTGTTATACGTGAAAACGGTATAGGTATCTGTACCTAAACGTCGCTTTTTGCACAATGAAGAAGTTGACCATCCATAAAACTTGTCATTCATATCACTTACAACGTCTAGAATGCCTCTCAAACATTTGAACTTACTGGAGAACACTTTCTTGTTTATTGCACAGAGCAAAATTTCGTTGTAGATTCTTACTAACCGTTTTCAACGTAAAAGTAGAAGTTGATATATCCGTAAAGTTGTATGCTTTGTTATTGACTCACTACTTCAAGAATGCCGATCAAACAGTTAAGAAGACACGTGTTTGAAATAAACGTTACAGTCACCTCTGCCTGTATGATTCTGCATGATGGTGCTTATTTCACACGCATGTGCTTATGAATCACTATCACATTGTGATGACAGTGATGTTCGTGAAGCTGCAAGCATATCCTGCCTCAAGGAATGTTGCGTTCAGCTGATAAACATTTGGAATGAACATCGCATTTAGCAATACATTTTTTGAAACGGAGGCCACATTAATCAAGTAAATGTTTAAAACGAACGTCACATTAGGCAGGTAAACGTTTAGAACGGATGCCACATTAAGCAGGTTAACATTTAGAACGGATGCCACATTAAGCAGTTTAACATTTAAAACGGAGGCCACATTAAGCAGGTACACGTTTAAAACAGAGGCCACATTAAGCAGGTTAACGTTTAAAACAGAGGCCACATTAAGCAGGTAAACGTTTAAAACAGAGGCCACATTAAGCAGGTAAACGTTTAAAACGAAGGCCACATTAAGCAGGTACACGTTTAAAACTGGGGCCACATTAAGCAGTAAACGTTTAAAACGAACGTTGCATAAAGCAAATAAACGTTAAAACGAATGTTGCATTGAGCAGATAATGTGGCACTCATCAGCAATGCTATTATTTTTTTTTAAAAAGAAGTAGATTCAAGTTTTAAAAAATGTATTCCGTATCTGAACTTTACAATTTGTCACAATATTGCACTAAATACACGTTTAAAACGAAAGTGGTACTCGGTAGACACACCGTTCAAAACTTGCGTTGCATTGTGAAAGCAATTAATCAAATACGGACGGAATATTCTGAATAATTCCTGCAATCTGGCTGTCAGTTTTTTGGAACCAAAACATTTGGGGCAGCAGACACATTTTCATTTCAGACGAACATCATAATCTAAAGATAACAGCTAGAAAATTACATCTATATGTAGGTGCTGTATGCCATGGAACATCATAATTATCGGGTAGTGAGATATTCACGACATATTTTCTGCAATTAGGCGCAGTGATTATTTATTGGTAATGGCACCTTGGCATATACTAGATAAGTTGATCATGAAGTATTCATTACCTCGCATACATTTTGACTTAGGATTATCACTGTCATCAATCTGTGACATAAAGGACACCAATTCAAGTATTCTGTCAGGATTATATTTGGAAAGGACGAAGATAAAGGCATAATATTCATAAAGGGATGTGGAAGGGAAGAAGTAATAATACTTGACTGGAGCAGATTGGCCCGTTTAGCATGATCAGTATTCATTTCATAATTTCATTTCTCAAATAACACCTTTATTTACAGATGTGGACGTGTTAATCAAGTGCAACGCTTCATTTTACAAATATGGAAGAACTGCTTCGCCTGTCTTGAAGAGAGGTAAATTATCAGGGCTTTTTTATGTATGATCAAGTTTCATATTCGATCCGATTGTCACCCTGGGCCCTGCGCCACTACTCACATGTTCTTAAGCATCATACGGGCCCTTTGCTAATACCCGAACCTCATAATGTTTTGAAAATGTGATTCGAACCCCGATTCTGTCACGTATCGGGGACTCAACTCGTAGACACTGCGGACACCATTGACCAATAATTTAAATTGGTTGTGTTTCAGCTATGGGCAAACTGATGTGCAACAACTCTTTACTATGTTGTGTTGTGTGAGCCTTCGAAGTATTCCTCCAATCGCCTAGGGTGGTATAACAGTTTCTGCATTTTCTGTTGTCAGTGACGTTGGCGTTGGCCATTATGGTGCCTGTTCTGCTGGTCCTCCTGCTGACTGTCATCGTCATCTCTTATGGAATCTACAGGTTAGTGTGGGTTACATGAAGACATACATATTGGTCCCGCATTTTATCTGTCATGTTCATCTTTGTGCGTCGTAGCATGACCCTCTTATTTAGGCACGGCACACTTCGTATCCTAGTGCATGGCGACATGTGTGCATCGTTGGATGCATGTGCACACTGTTGACACGTATCCTACTGCATGGATACATGTGTGCATCGTTGGATGCATGTGCACATTGTTGACACGTATCCTACTGCATGGATACATGTGTACATCGTTGGATGCATGTGCACACTGTTGACACGTATCCTACTGCATGGATGCATGTGTACATCGTTGGATGCATGTGCACACTGTTGACACGTATCCTACTGCATGGATGCATGTGTACATCGTTGGATGCATGTGCACACTGTTGACACGTATCCTACTGCATGGATGCATGTGTACATCGTTGGATGCATGTGCACACTGTTGACACGTATCCTACTGCATGGATGCATGTGTACATCGTTGGATGCATGTGCATCCACTGTTGACACGTATCCTACTGCATGGATGCATGGATACATCGTTGGATGCATGTGCACACTGTTGACACGTATCCTACTGCATGGATGCATGTGTACATCGTTGGATGCATGTGCACACTGTTGACACGTATCCTACTGCATGGATGCATGTGTACATCGTTGGATGCATGTGCACACTGTTGACACGTATCCTACTGCATGGATGCATGTGTACATCGTTGGATGCATGTGCACACTGTTGACACGTATCCTACTGCATGGATGCATGTGTACATCGTTGGATGCATGTGCACACTGTTGACACGTATCCTACTGCATGGATGCATGTGTACATCGTTGGATGCATGTGCACACTGTTGACACGTATCCTACTGCATGGATGCATGTGTACATCGTTGGATGCATGTGCACACTGTTGACACGTATCCTACTGCATGGATGCATGTGTACATCGTTGGATGCATGTGCACACTGTTGACACGTTTTCTATTGCATGGATACATGTGTACATCGTTGGATGCATGTGCACACTGTTGACACGTATCCTACTGCATGGATGCATGTGTACATCGTTGGATGCATGTGCACACTGTTGACACGTATCCTACTGCATGGATACATGTGTACATCGTTGGATGCATGTGCACACTGTTGACACGTATCCTACTGCATGGATGCATGTGTACATCGTTGGATGCATGTGCACACTGTTGACACGTATTTTCTATTGCATGGATGCATGTGTACATCGTTGGATGCATGTGCACACTGTTGACACGTATCCTACTGCATGGATGCATGTGTACATCGTTGGATGCATGTGCACACTGTTGACACGTATCATGGATACTGCATGGATGATGCACACTGTTGACATGTATCCATCGTTGGATGCATGTGCACACTGTTAACACGTATCCTACTGCATGGATACATGTGTATCCCGTTGGATGTATGTGCACATTGTTGACACATATCCTACTGTATCGATGCATGTGACCATTCTTAACACTTCCCCTATTGTGTGGATACATGTGTTCACGGATAACATATATCAATGTTCAAATGGATGCATGTGGACTATACAATTTTTCGTAAATGCACGTGTTTCTTGCTTAAACGTTAAATAATAATGCTTGGATGCACATATACACCGCCCCCATTTCCTATCATGTCACCGGAATGTATCAAGATCGCATAACCTATTCCTTGGATACAAAGTTCATTGATACAAGTGTATCTTAGTAATACGCTGCCATGTTACATAAATATTCCTTCACAAAAGATAATTTAAACAGATGCACGTGGGCCGTGACCATACAGCGTGTTATTTTTCATACATGCATTTTACATATACACCGCGCCCTATCATATCACCGGAATGTACCTAGATCGCATAACCTATTCCTTGGATAAGATTTAAAAGTTCAATGAGTTAAGTGTATCATAGTAATACGTTGCCATATTACATAAATGTATTAGATACTGGACAAAATTAATTTCGATGGACTCACCTAAGCAAATATATTTAATGTTGTGTGGATTAAATGAAGCTTGTCGTATATCTTGGTCAACGTATATAAGGAATATTCTCTTCAGATATGGATTTGGCTACGCCTGGATAATTGGAAATCCGCAAATATTCATTTCTCAATTTAAAAATCGTATCATGGACTGTGGTCAACAAGAATGGAATGAAAATATATCCCAGAAATCAAAACTTAAAACCTATGCCACTTTCAAATCTGTATTAGACACCGAACTATACTTACATACAACTGATAGATACCAAGGTATATAGAGAAACACTGACAAGGTTTCGCTGCAGCTGTCATAAATATTAAAATGATAATCGAAACTGAAAGCCATTAAAACACAGAAGAAGACAAAAGATCATGCCCACAGTGTCAAATAGCAGGATTTAATTTTATTGAAAACGAATATTATTTTCTTCTTATCTGTAATTCTTATTCAGCTTTAAGACTTAATTTTATCGATAAATATTTTATACTAGTCCATGAAAGGAAATGTTTGTACATCTAATGTCTTCTAAATGTAAACAAACTCTTTCCCAACTGTCGAAATATCTTTTTCATGCTTTAAAACTACGAGAGTTACTCAAAAATTACTGATTATATTTCTTTGTGTTATACACTATTCATTTGTATTTTTGTGTAATATGTATGTTCTATGGGTCTGTGGCCTGAAACTTGAAATAAATTCTTCTTCTTCATTACATAAATATTCCTTCACAAAAGCACATGATAATTTAAACAGATGCACGTGGGCCGTGACCATACAGCGCGATATTTTTTATGCATGCATTTTGACAAATGACATTTTGTCTGATTATTCCCAAACTGTACTAGTAAATAAATATTTCCACTGTATTACAGATGTGTATAATTATCATGTAAATACCTTTACATTCTCTTACAGCAGGAGCAAATCCCGTGCGGAATATGAACTCACGACAATACCCATCGAAACACAAAAATGTTCACCTAAAAGTACCCCATCTTTGAAAAGAACCATTAGAATTAACCCGGATGTGTGTGCTGGTCACGTGACAGACTCTGACTCGAGGGAGGGCGAATGGGAGTTCCCTAAACCCCCACCAGAGGCGTACATAGTAGAAGAGCGGTGTTCCGGGAGTGCGTTATAATGGGAATGCTCTCTCATAGACAAAGACTACCAGAGACAATAGGCATGCAGTGCCGTATTGATTTGTATGTATCATATTGTTTTCAAGGTCTGGAATTTCTTGAGTAATCTCTGATTGGTTTCATTTGAACACAAAGTATCTTCACAGTTGCCTCTTTCCTACTGTACATATTTGTACAGATGACGATAAGAGCAAATTGAACTTTCGTATGAAACAGAATTACTCGTAAGATCCTACAGTGTCATGATATAGTCTATGGTCTGTATTTCAAGATTTTTCAGTTACATGTCCTCGATGTGTTGTAATAAAAGGGAAAGAACAAATGCGATACTTGTTTCTTGAAATATAGAAAAAACCTCAGTGTATTCAGCCCTATAGTAAATGAACTACATTCTCGAAATATGGCAAGTATCTACAGCAAAACTCTCAAACAAATGCCTTACGTGCTCCTCTTTGAAGCCAAGGTAACGACACACTTCTGCTGTTGGAATGAATATATGACCGTTTGGGCGTCAAGTTAAAGACGTCTATTTTCCGTGACTGAAAGCATTAATTTGCAATCTTACCAAATAGGGATCGATGTTAATATGGACCATGCCTGACGGTCCATTTACGTCTTTGTCTAGACATCTTCCTGCTTCAATATCACATTCACATATTCATAAAATAAGTACGTCGAGCATTTCACCAATAATTTCTAGGTAAACTGCATGTGCCATTTGCTAACATTTCTGAACCTTTGAAGACAGTAACTATACCTATGCAGCTACATAAGATCAATGTATATGATCAATGAATAGAGTTGTTCTTTAAGATTGCGTTATAGGACAGGGGTGTATATACAATGTTTTAAAAAAGAAATGTTTTTGACAATGCTAGCTTTATATAATTTCTTGATCACGCATACCTAACAGTAGGTAAGAATCGTGTCTGGACCACTCAATCTCGTGATGCACATCATGAGCTTTTATATATGCAGCTGGTATACGACGACATGCATCGTCTGTATGGTTGTTTGTTTATTGTTTAACGCCGGCGCCGGTCGGAAAATAATCGAATCTGGACCAGACAGTCCAATGATCAACAGCATGAGCATGCGATCTACGCAAATGGGACATTATTACATGTGTCAACCAAGTCCACACGATCTCTTTAATCGTCCCTCGCGAGATACATGGGTTGTTTTAAGACTAACTGAGTTTGGTTTACGCCGCTTTTAGCAATATTCCAGCAATATCACGGCGGGGGACACCAAATGTTCACCCATGTGGGGAATCGAACCCGGGTCTTCGGCTTGACGAGCCAACGCTTTAACCACTAGGCTACCCCGCCGCCCCGGGTTCTATAAGAACAACCCGGTACTTCATGGGTCACATTCATTATATTTTCCTCCAAAAAAGGACATCGTCGTTTTTTTCAAGTGATCTACCACCAGTTATCAGTTCACGAAAGTCAAACTTCTGTATTTAATTGGTCCAGTAACTTCAATTATCAGTCTTTCTTCAGGTAGTCAAAAGGTCTCAGGCCTATGGTACACCATATGCATTTGTTTATACACATTTAGGAAACAATATGCTTTCTATGTACAAAAGCGTAGAAAATATACATGGACATGTTTTCAATTTCTTTAGTATTTGAACTGTTTAGCAGTAGTGAAACTTAAGCATGTTTTGGATGGACATAATATTTGTCTTGAATAATATTTGTCTTGCATAATATTTGACGTTTACTGAAGTTTGGGCATACAAGAAGAAAATGATACTCGTCCTCAATTGCATTTGAATTACATGATTGACAAGTTATATATTCTCTATTCACATTTACATATCTACCTTTCTCAATTTAACGTTCATGACATGAGCATCGGAATCGTGCTAAACTTACACTATACGTTTTTACATTTAAACATGATGAATATAATTCGGTATGGATATTGTTTTTAATTGTCTTTGAGTAAATGATTTGATGAATTCCGGTCCAGTACTTGGTGACTGTGTTTAGTAACAGATGACTGTGAACTGCATTGTTTCAACTCATCCCAGTATATTCACTACTGACCGGGACATATATTTAACGTTGGATGAAAAACACTGAACTTCCTTGTCTGTCGCCAGGAGCTGCCATGGCTGGGCAGGCGAGCTGTCATCGTAAGTGTACATTGTTCCTCCTTGTGTTATCGTTGTGATACATAGCATATTCCTAGTTTCGTCTTGTTCTGTTAACATGTTATCCATGGAAACCTACAACCTACATTCAAACCTCATCTCTTCTCCGTGATGTAATCCAGGAGAAATCATTATTGATGACCGTATTAATATAGTATGGGAAACCCATTGCCTAATGTTACTGAGATAGGCGACAACGCAAGTGAGTAACTCGCATCGACACGGGTCTGGATTGCTGACGCAGTATTATAAGTCACTGTGGGTGATTAAGTTGAATTTCACTTTTAAGGAAGGAAGGCTTTTATCGCAGAAATCATTTCTACATGTGAAAGCCCCGAACATTGCGGGTTGGAGGATCACCCAGCTCTACATCACATCATTCAAAAGTGAATATGTGAGGTTAAGGATGTAGTCTTGTGCAGTAAACTGGTATTTCTGCACTTTGGTTGGTTCCACAATCCTGGCGAGACCAAGGGACGCAACTCAATCAATCAATGCTTTATTGCACAAAAGACCATAGGCCCATATACAACAGAGTTACATGTATATGTCAATATAGGAATATACATATAAAATATAGTATTACATTAAAAATATAATTCAATTAACAAAACGAAGTTGGCGTAATATTAAAGCATGGTGTATATATAAGGCAATGTGAAATTCGGTAGTAGGATTACTGCAAGATAACAGCTTCTTAAAATTATGTGTGGACATGAAATTAGATGTAGGTAAATGTTTAATTCTGAGTTCATCATAGATTGGGCAGAGACACATGTCCCTTACGCTATCATGAGACTGTATCTCAGGCAACTGACGTCATGAAGACGGAGCTACTATCAGACAGTTTAAAGCCTCATGAGAATATTACACATCAACTCGTACAAGGAAAAAGAAATTATTACTCTTGACTTGCGTGATATAATGTTACAGTACGATAATACATGGATAATAATGAAGGTCTGTAAGAAATGAATGGTATACCTTTACCTCAGATATTCGGCCGACACCAATGGAACAGAGAACATCATCTACTGCCGTGTTCGTATTCCTGGCTAGCATCATATACGGAGAAATCAAAGGTAATATTCGCTTACAGCTTGTTTGCCATAACTTGCTGTACAAAGTAACTTTGAACAAGGCTTTAATCATCTTAGGTTTTCTGTTCTGTTCTGTTTGAGAAGATACATTAAAGAGTAAGTCATCCTGACTTTAAATATGAATACCAATGAGATACACATTAGATGTGATTCATCATTTGACATTTGAGCTCAGGAGTTTAAAGGTGTGAGAATGCGGACATTTTATTCCAAAATCACCTGGGCTTATAAACAGTGTTATATACTGTAGACACAGTAGAGCAGCCCGCTGGTTAAACCGTTTGCTTGTCAAATACTCTGTCTCAATGAAAGGCGTACATTGTGTAAGAGGCGACGGCATCGGGAGGTCAGGCTGGCTGACATGGTTGACACATGTCATCGTACCCCAGTTGGGTAGATCGATGCTTATGCTGTTGATCACTATATTTTCTGATCCAAACTCAATTATTTACAAACCGCTGCCATAGAGCTGGAATATTGCTGAGTGCGGAATTAAACAACAACTAACCAACCATAAATCATTGCCTCATACTTGTAGTCAGCACACTTCATGGAGTCAGCCAGTTTCGTTTCTGAGTGTATATCCTGTAGTTTGTTGAAACAATACATTTTTTTCAAAGTATTGCAGTAAGACGGATGAATATGAAACCAGTTTCCTGTTTCCATTATCTTGCAAAGCAGAGCACAAGGAAGGCATGAAAACAAGTCTCGGTCCGCAGTGGGTTATGTGGTAAGAGCTTCATAAGGGTAATATTTATGTAGGAAGGATAGCTTACGGTATATATATTAAGAGTTCAACGTAGTTTTGATTTCATTTTAGGTTCAACACAAAGCGTAACCCAGCCATGTGAGAAAAACAAAAAAGGTATATGTACAGTGAAAGATTGTACCATCACAAGTGTCTATGAATTGAATATTTAGTGAATGTGAATGAAGTTACCTGTTTCCGGTAACTGTTTTGTTGTGCACCATCCGTGAATATCCTACAATGTAACGTAACGAGCTTTACTTCAATTCAATAATACCTATTTAAAATATGAGCAGTGTATGACAATACATGATGATATTCTTTTTGAATGATGATGAATTAGGTGATGCCATAATGATATGTCTTATCATATTATCCATCTTTAACATAACCTGAACATATAAGACATATATAACATATGCTGAACATAATCTATGCCCTGGAGTTATTAAAGCCGCCATTTCACTACAAGATGTTTTATATTAACGCTTATTGATATTGTCGTTGCTCTTAGAAATTGGTTAGTGTGTATTTGTTATATATTTTTAGTTCTCTAATTTGTAGTATGCTGCATATTTACTTGGGGAATATATTTTGTTGTTTGTTATCCTGTGTGTACCTAGGCAGAGTTGCATCCCTTGTACGTATCAGGATAACACATATGGGTTTGGATCCAACACTGGCTTGATGATGTTTTCGGACATGCCAGCACCATTCCTTTCGTCATGGTTTTCTCAAAATGAATACGTTCCAGGATCAACAATCTCGGACGTTCTCTCACAACCAGCTAAAAGCCTTCATATGACTGGAATGCTATTAAACTTGAATCAGTATTATCTGAATCACACTCAAGTCGATGATACTGATGATACTTAATTTCACTGAATATACAGTATAGTGGAGATGTTTTCAATAAAACCATAAAAGCGAACTTCCAATGAAACAAGAGATGCAGAGTCATTTGGTATAGGGCCTGTAAGTCTCGCGAGGCGCTACTTCCAGTACTAAGCTGGTTCCAGGCTCCCTTTGCGAGCGCCAACTTGCGATATGCGAGACGGAGCCCAGCTTACTACCGGTATCAGATTTCCGGTGACAAGCATATATTCAAGAACCAGTTCTGGTTCCAAACTGATCGACGGCCAAATATGACTTTACTAGACCGAAAGTGTCGCGAAGTCTCGCGAAGTGCCGTGACCTACTTACGGGTCCTATTCTGTACATAGAGGGTCAAACATTTCTGTACACACGTACTTCTCAATGACGTGAGTAATTGGCGATGGTAATATGAAACAATCGGGCGTTCTCCTGAGTAGTAACACTGTTCAAGTAGACATATTGTAAGATGTTTCTGTTTACAGCCATCTCACTCTGCGAAAGTAGCTCCGATAACCGCCCGTCAGGTTTTCTCACATACAACATGTCCACTTCACCGGAGTGGTGCAACTGCAGCCTTTCAACAGACCAAGAAGATACGATGGATGTGCAGTTTTCGACGACAGTACACAACGCAACGTATGACTTCGTCCTCCACGTTGCAAGAGGTGGCGGTGGCAACATCAGCGGCAGACACGGACACTGGAACGACAGCATATCTAAAAAGATGCCGTGGACCGTGTACCTGTCGAAGGCTAATCTGAAAACAAAACGTGCAGCAATTCAAGGATTATGTTTCTCCTATGAAGTTAAGAATGAAAGTGGGTACAGTACGCTTAAAACGAACTGACGATAAAGCAAACTGCCTTTATGGCTTCCTTAAGTGGCATTTAGAAGCTGGTATGATGAAGTGGAACATTTTCTTGATAACGGTGTTAGGATTTATAGTCCGTTTGGCTCAAAAGCGGACCAATGAATTGCAATCTAACTCTAAAACTAATAAACATATAATACTCAATGAAAGTATGATCATAATCAAAACATCAGACCAACTTTGTGAGGTTTTTGCACAATTTATGTCCTAAAAATTAAAAAGTTGTTTAACAAACTATCATTAAAATATTGACAAATTTCACTATTTGTTACGAGGGAGGAGTGCAGAGAAAGGGACAGCCAGAAGTTAGAGAAGCACGTGCACAAGTGCCGACAAAGTTATTGATTCGTGAACCTGTGCTGTGCCGTCTCCATCCTGTCTCGCACACCTGGCTGTCCCTTTCTCTGCACTCCTCCCTTGTAACAAATAGTGAACTGTATTCATATTTTAATGATAGTTTGTTAAACAACTTTTTTATTTTTAGGACATAAATTCTGCGAAAACCTCTCAGAGTTGGTCTGATGTTTTGATTACGATCAGTGTTTCATTGAGTATTTGATGTTTATTAGTTTTCGAGTGAGCTTGCGATTCATCGGTCCGCTTTTGAGCCAAAACGGACTTTACACTGAAACGTCGCAACTACTACTACAACAAACAAGTTGTCTATCCATAAAAAGTGTTCCACTTCATACTTTTATGGCCTTGACGTACGTTAAAATCTATGTTAAAATTATTTTATAGGGAAAATGTATTATGTAACTTTTCCACAGTTTTATCCATATGGGCAGCATTTTTATTTTGTGTGTGTGTGTTTCTCATCGCCCGCCCGACTCTTCTAATTTAAAAATATCCTTTTTTTCATTCCAACACCGCCGACTCGAACCTAAAACCTACCTGTTTGTCTATCTACAGTGTTTTAATCAGACGCTGCCACAAGTCGAAAGAACGCAAGAAATTGTAATAAGAATTAGAATAAATGAGAATCAAGAACATTATTCGGATAATTTTGTCTTTATTAAGTTAGGATTTTTTAGGTGTTTTTTTTTCCCGACCCCCGAACCATGTTCAGAATTTGGTGGCTACGTGAAACACATAAAAATCGATGCCGTATTACTCTATTGCAATGCTCCTATTTTAACTAATATTTTCCGTAGCACTCAATCCCAGCTGACGTTACATTGCACCTATTCATACCTACTATACTGTACTTACCTTATGCTTTTGTTAGCTGATGACTGCAATGGTCGAATTACTACGTTGCTTAGTATGTGGGTGCGACTGTATTCAAGTTACCATATAATCATTTAGCTGTATAACCTTCATGTCCCTATTTAAGCTGCAGAGTATCTATTTCTGGTAGGCACTACGTTCCAATGATCTTATTATAGCAGGTATGTTTCAATGACCAAATTCCTAGCTAATATATTTAACTTAAAATGTACCTCTTCCATGATCCTATCTTTTGTGATTTACGTTGTAATGCCCTTATTCCAAGCAACTATGTACAAACCACTATTCATTAGGGGTGAAACGGTACGCTCTTACCACGGTATATTGCGGTACAATGCCTTCGGTTCGGTCCGTTTCGGTTCGATATATCCCGGAAATAGCGGCCGTCTAGCCAGGAAATGCACAGATTTTGACAAAATAATTCGATTTCTAGACATTTTAGAAAAAGTATAGAAAGGTTAATAAAAAGACGGTACGAAAACCGAAAACACCAATATTTTGAACTGCATTACGGAATACCGAACCGAAGGCAAAATACCGCGGTTCTACTAATACCGCGGCATACCGTTTCACCCTACTATTCATGCTACTTTGTTACATTTCTTCTTTTTCGTGGCTACTTTGTTACAATGCCAGCAGTCCTAGCTACAATATGTTATGCCACTATTCCCAGATACTGCAGTAGCTCCTATGTTTCAATGCTCCAATTCCAAGCCATGTTGCAAGACCCCTGTTCCTAACTGTACAATGGTGCAATGTTCCTGCTCGTAGCTACTGTATTGCAATTCCTCTATTCCTAGTAACTAGGTTGCAGTCCTCCCATTCAAAGCAGTCATGTTTCAAGACCTCTGCTCCTAACTTCTGGGCTGTGATTTTCCCAGCTACTATGTTGCAATGCTCTTATTCTCAGCTACTATGTTGCAATGCTCTTATTCTCAGCTACTATGTTGCAATGCTCTTATTCTCAGCTACTATGTTGCAATGCTCTTATTCTCAGCTACTATGTTGCAATGCTCTTATTCTCAGCTACTATGTTGCAATGCTCTTATTCTCAGCTACTATGTTGCAATGCTCTTATTCCCAGCTACTATGTTGAAATGCTCTTATTCTCAGCTACTATGTTGCAATGCTCTTATTCCCAGCTACTATGTTGCAATGCTTTTATTCCCAGCTACTATGTTGCAATGCTCTTATTCTCAGCTACTATGTTGCTAAGCCACTATGCCTCCCTGAATTCGATTATTCATAAGGCAAATTGCGCCCTTTAGCCGCGTCTGAAACTTGTTATCTTAGGTTTGAACATTTCCTTATGTCACATTAACCTGTGTCATTCTTTGTTACCATTAGCAACAAGATTCTCTATCTTATGCCGCGCCTCCGACACGGAACTGGACAAGTCTGAGCCGAGGAGTATGTATTAGACACTCTGTAATGTAGAGGAAATTCACGTTTAATTCACCATTGAAAAAAATGGGAGATATATCGGTGCCAATTGATGTTTATATGATAATAATGAATGTTTTGAGAGTGCATCACCACTTGCTCTTCCTTATGACCATAGTTGTTTTTACAGTAACCGCTCTTGAAGATGATTGGTGTATGACGTGAAACGTGCGTGTGTACGATTTTCATTTTCAACCCCCTCCCCCAAAAAAATTAAAAATAAAAAATAAAAAATAAATTTAAAAAAAATAAAAAGTAAAATAAAAAATAAATGAAACCACAAGAAACAAACACTAACAGCTGTGTAATGCACGATGATTGTCAAAATTAATGGTCTACAGTGATTATCGGCCTCTTTAAAAGCCGTCAAAATAAAAAATGATACCCCATGCGCATGTATGGAGCTACTGCGTTGTGCACGTGCATCCCTTGCGTTGTGTTTAGGGTGGTGATCAAGAGAAATGGTGGTGCGTTCATAAGATGCCTGTCTTTGAAAAGTCTGTTAACGCTTATACTTCCTATCCTAATTGAACGTTAAAGTTCCCCTATTTTGTTGAAGAGTATACATGCAGCCTAATTCATACCATATTAAGAACATATATAACAGTGTAAGTGACACATAAGAAATATATGAGTTATATGAGTTCATTCTAATTTTCATCCTCGCATCGGCGTCTTGACAGTCACGTCGAAGTATTGTCTTTGATTACTTACGTGGGTGTTGACGTCAGTTCCAGACACATCACTGATCATTTGGTTTCTGTCCGGACTGGCTTGTGCTCTGGCTATTGCGGCAGTCGTGGTGGTGTTCATGTTCCAAAAACCGAGGCAAGTAAAATGCATTTTTGCTCACCTGACTGAAAGGTAATTTGGCTTATGTCGTGACATGTTTTGTCCATTGAGTGTAATCCGTCAAAAGAATCTTCTCCTCAGAATTCAGTGAGTGAGTCGATTAACAGGATCGGGTGGTCTGGCTCTCGCTGACTTGGTTGACACATGTCGGTTCCCAATTGCGCAGATCGATGCTCATGCTGTTGATCACTGGATTGTCTGGTCCAGACTCGATTATTTACAGACCGCCGCCATATAGCTTGAATATTGCTGAGTGCGGCGTAAAACTAAACTCACTCACTCACTCACTCACTCTTGCTCAGGCCATTGTGAAGCTTTCCCGTTGCAGATTTCTGATTTGTCAAACCTCGAGTCATTACATTGATTCCTCATTGATTACTACGTACGTAGTTGTTCATCTTTGCTCTGATCTTCAAACCATGGCATTTTCAATTTCAGTTAGAAATTCCGATTCCCATTCTCCTTAGTAACAAGGACTAACTCAGACTGTGTCAGTCTTGTTGAATACAGTCACTGATTACTGAAACATTTAATATCAATTATTACACTAAGTGGGATCTTCGCAAGCATACGGGGCTGTGGGATAGCCCAGTGGTTTAAGCGTTCGCTTGTAACGCGGAAAGCCCGGGTTCGATACCACACATGGGTACAATGTGTGAAGCCCATTTCTGGTGTATTGGAATATTGCTAAAAGCGGCGTAAAACCATACTTACTCACTTATGAGAATAATGCGTTGAAAAGAACATATTTTAGTTCAAGTGATATTCCCTTCAATTATAGGTGTGTGGGAAGAGACAGAAGGTTCAGTACTAAGGCACAGGATGAAATACTCACAGCTCTACAAAGGACATCCAGTAGGGGAGAGGACAAGGATGGGGAGAAGGATGGGCAGGAGGATGGGCTGGAGAAGACGTCCGGTGAATGCAGACTTCCACTGCAAGACCACACAGCTCAAGGAGCGTGTATCTCCAGCTCCGAGGCCATCCACGATAGAGGGGTGGCCAAGGAGAGCTCAGCTCGTGGGTATCTTGGGACAACACATGAACCGGGAAATCATATTGAACTCAATGATGTCCAGACTGGTCCATCTGCTGAGGGTGATGTAGGAGCATCGGATGACGAGGCGGAAAAATCCAAATGGTCGACAATATTGTCTATGAAACAAGCAGTGGCCAGACTGGTCCATCTGCTGAGGGTGGAGTAGGAACATCGGATGACGAGGCGGAAAAAGTCCAAATGGTCGACAATATTGTCTATGAAACAAGCAGTGGCCAGACTGGTCCATCTGCTGAGGGTGGAATAGGAACATCGGATGACGAGCCGGAAAAAGTCCAAATGGTCGACAATATTGTCTATGAAACAAGCAGTGGCCAGACTGGTCCATCTGCTGAGGGTGGAGTAGGAACATCGGATGACGAGGCGGAAAAAGTCCAAATGGTCGACAATATTGTCTATGAAACAAGCAGTGGCCAGACTGGTCCATCTGCTGAGGGTGGAGTAGGAACATCGGATGACGATGTGGAAGAAATCCAAATGGTCGACAATATTGTCTATGAAACATGCAGCGGTGGTGGAAAGTAGAATTTGGCCTTTACTCTACAAACATGCTCGGAGGGAGAGTATCCAGACATGATCTTGAACCCACGAATAACATGAACTGTCAGACGATGTCAAGCATGCACATAAATATATTTTTTTAGCTTGCCATGTGACTCTCAAAAGAGTTATGTATTTTTAATACGCTTATTATTAAGACATGTGACCGGAATGACGAACTGTGTTATATTTTTACCGTAAAAGTGAATTATGTGTTTATTTAAGTTTTCTCATCTTCAGCAATAAAAACGTGAAGCCTTAAATGATGCAGTTATGTGCGCTTGGCATGACACCATTGTCACAGATCATTGTCATGGTGTGCTTCATATTTCGTATATATATTGAGAGATAATATGAGGGTTGATATTTAGATAAAGAATATTGTATTCTTAGCGAATTGACTGATTGCTGGTCGCTCGATAAGAATAATTATCGCTGTATCCTGTTGACTGGGGGAGGTTACTCTTACATGAAACACTCCAGGCATATAACAACAAGGTGAGGTGAAACGGGATTTTACGGCGATTGTTGCACTTATATATAGCCACATGCATGAACGCCTCTCCCTCCCCCTCTGTCTCCCCTCTCTCGCACTCTCTTTCCGTCTGTCTTACACTCTCTCTCACTTTCTCTCACTCTCTCTCTCTCTCACTCTCTTTCCACTCTCTCTCTCTCTCTCTCTCTCTCTCTCTCTCTCTCACACAATACACACACACACACACACACACACACACACACACACACAATAAACGGAATACGCAGGGTAACAAGTACCATGATCTGGACCTCCAGAAGGAATTCCTGACTTGAAAAGAGTTATGTAACGGGACGTCAACCCAAAGACAAACGACAACGTGAAAAGTCTGTAATATCGTTATCTCGAACTCCAACAACCACGGTGAAAAAGCACTGCCCTTTACTATCGGACATTGACATTTCGACAGGTGGTCAATTCTGTCCAAACTTGTACCGATCATATTTAAAGAACGTGCTTTCATCGTGAATGCTTGCGATATAGACATTTCTACGACGAGAACAATGTTTTTTAAATGTATTTACAGAAGTTTTAGCAGTGATGGAGAACTAAAACCCATATTAAATTATCTGTTGTTATCCTGCCCAGGACTCCCGTGTTGTTGCTTAAATATATTTGAATCAATTAAATCAGTCGTGTTTGAAATGTGCTGTTCCACCTTTACTTTACACAAAGGGGCGGTGGGGTAGCTTAGTTGTTGAAGCGTCGATCGTCACGCTGAAGACCCGGGTTTAACATTGTTTGTGGGTTATGTAGACACACGACAGATCGCTGCTTCTATCAGGCACATGCAACGCTAAAATGGCGTATCTTCAAACAGCGGGGTGGGGTAGTCTAGTGGTTAAGTAGTTCGTTTGTTACGCCGAAGACCCGGGTTCGATTCCCCACATGGGTACAATGTGTGAAGCCCATTCCTGGTGTCCCCTGCCTTGATATTGCTGGAATATTGCTAAAAGCGGGGTAAAACCCACTCTCTCACTCACTTTACACAAGACCAGACAAGTGCGCTTGTGTCGCTGTTTTACAAGCACTAAGGTGGTTATCCGATCATTTCTACATGCTATGTTGCAATGAAATAATCGATCAACAGCAGCTATAACAGCAACTGTTCTATATACAGATATATACTGCATATATACACACACACACATGAAATGTAATATATATGACTGACTGACTTACTGAGTTTGGTTTTACGCCGCTTTTAGCAATATTCCAGCAACATCACGGCGGGGGACACCAGAAATGGGCTTCACACATTGTACCCATGTGGGGATTCGAACCCGGGTCTTCGGCGTGACGAGCCAACGCTTTAACCATTAGGCTACCCCACCGCCCCTAATATATATGAATTGATTGAAGTGGAACTGTGAAGTTCATGCAGATCGCCAGTTTGTCCCCTGCATCTGTCGGATCCATCCACAGCCTTCTCAACAGGTAGCCAGCTAACCTCCTTTCCACGAATAGCTTCAAATGTATACGGGGAACGAAAAGCGTCAATCGTAAGAGGATGGGTGCTGGTTTTCGAACGTCGCGTGGGAAAAGGTTTAAGTCAAGTCAGTTTGATGTCTGACAAAAAACCCACAAATGATGCAAATCAATACCTTTCAGTGAAACCCGTTAACAAATGAGTGAGATGTTTTAAAGCAATATTCCAGCTATATGGCGGCGGTCTGAAATAATCAGTCTGGCGCAGTGATCAACATCATGAGCATCGATCTGCGCAATTGGGAACCGGTGACATATGTCAACCAAGTCAGCGAGCCTGACCACCCGATCCCGTTAATGACAAAGTAAAGTGTGATGACGTGGATGCAGGAAGCTTCATGTGTCTAGTCAGTCTATAATTATCACCCACAACCTCTAAACCTCTGCGGAATGTTCACTTAATCATCCCTTGTCTGTGTATATCAAGCACAGCTGTTGCAACTGAAGTTTGTCAGGTCGTTCTCGATACATCAACTGACGTAGGAAAGAAAGTACACACCTGACGCTTTGGTAAAATGTTTTCCTGAAAACAGCGTAATATTTAGAAAAGTATTTTGATTGCGACTCACAAGTCACAAACACTGTGTACGTGTTGCAATAACACCATAAATATCGTACCCAATTGGAACATTGCTCGCAAAATATTTACGTTGTCTTAATAGTCTGAAAACACCAGGTGTCTACTTTCTTTTGTGCATCAGTATACTTTCTTCAGCTGTCTCCTAACACTACCCGTTTTCTAGTTGTAGTATACCACACACACATCCGCATAAAAAGGTAATATTCATGATATTTACTAACATTGTTATCACATTCACACATGATAGCCTGTCTCGTAGCTAAAACACAAATCGATATAAACATTGACCTACAACATGGAGGATACTAACATCAACTGACGTTGGTTGGATATCAGAGTTAGTAATATAACAAAAATTATTTATTCTGTCTGTGTGTGTAGTTGTTAGAAATACCACGCTGTAATCAGAGCTGATCTATAGTTGTTAGGCATGTGTGTGGTTGTCCTTTCTGCCTGTTTGAATAAATGATTATTAAACGTATTACTATTATTACTTAAGTCTCCTTTGATGTATGTGTAACATATGAGATATCCTACAAAGCGTACAATGGAGCAACTATATAAGCTTCTTATGTGGATTCAATCGCACGTACTTGCAATGTGTGTGTAGCAGAGTTCATATAACACATTTTACCACCGATCTCCTACCCTCTCCACCCTTCCAAGCCACCCGTGAAGATCCGGGTTAGAATTGATCTTCAGTAACCCATACTTGTCGTACGAGGCGACTAACGGGGTTGGGTGGTCAGGTTCGCTGACTTGGTTGATTCACGTCATCGTATCCTAATGCCGCTCATGATGTTGATAAGGGCGGGATACTGCCCTGATTCTCATATTGCGATATATTGCAATAATTCAAGCGATATTGCAATACATATTGTGAAATAACTGTATTGCATGAACGTTTTGCAAACATAATGATAAAGGTAATAGTATAACATGAGTTTCATGGTCAGTGTTGTTTGCTTCAACAGAATACACTTCAATGCAGTAATCAATGTAATCATTGTTACTGTTTGTCAGTGATTCATTCAGATTCAACTTCAGTATAACTGACTGAATGAGTTTAGTTTTACGCCGCTTTTAGCAATATTCCAGCAATATCACGGCGGAACTTCAGTATAAACATGTGTTAACATGAACTGTTGTAAAATGAAACAAAAACATGATTTAGGTGCACTACTTGAGCTTAAAATCTCATGTGACCTCCAATAACTAAGATCCTTGACTAGAATATCATTATACAGTCCTACAAAGACTTTGGCCTTTATCATAAATTGATAACATATGTCCCATTATGAAAGCAAACAAAATAACAAAATAATGTGAATTGTGAAATTGGCACACAGAGCCACTTATAAGTCCAAATAAAATATTGGTAAAATTTGTGAAGGGCATTTAGAAGCAGAATGCATAAGAAAAGCAAGATTATGGATGTCAACTTCTTTATTGTGATTATTCATGACCTGATGAAGGAGCAACCTTACACTCCGAAACGTTGTGTTATTCAAAACAAGAAGTTGACATCCATAAATTTTGCTTTTCTTAAAAGATTGGTTCATTTGAGGTCACCTAATGCCTCCAAAATGTCACATATGAAACCATTCAAACCCACAAACTTAAAGCATTTGGTAGAATATTTGGTACTTTTGGAGACACTTTGGAGACACTTCCACTGGTAAAATGTTACATGAAACAGAAAAGAAACAAAAATTAATTTTGCACTTTTAGAGCACATTTTGTTGCTTTGGAAATCAAGAGCAGATAATTCAAAGGGAGCTAACTCTGGATGACCCCAATATATTGCAGAATCTGAATCATATCGCGATAATCGTATCGCGAGATACTGTACCTGTATATACCGCTTTACCGGTAATATTGCACAGCCCTAATGTTGATCACTGGATTGTCTGATCCAGACTCGATTATTTACAGACCGCCGTCATATAGCTGGAATATTGCTGAGTGCGGCGTAAAAGTAAACTTACATACTCACTCGAACGACACGCATGGATTGCCTAAAACCAGTTCTATCCAGGAACTTCATGGGTAATTTTGAGTATGAAAAAACACGATGGTGATATTAACCCTGATTGTTTCCAGGTTTATGTTTTGTCTACGGGTAAAAAGGGACGGTGGGGGAGCCTAGTGGTCACGGCGTTCGCTCGTCTCGCCGAAGACCCAAATTATATTCCCCACAAGGAAATACACGATCAGTGTGAATCCCATTTCTGGTGTCCCCCGCCGTGATAGTGCTGTAATATTGCTAAAAACGGCGTAAAACCAGCTCACTCACTCACTCTACGGGTAACATATAATACGCTATGATCAAGCAAAACATCACGCATGAGTCGAATCTGAAACTCGTGATCAGCTGATCTGTGCATTGACAAGGAACCGACGTCAGCACGATTCGGGCCAGTAGTTCCCAAGCATGGTACATGTATAAACTGATGGCGTAGTAATATAGTGCTCCGTGTGTACAGGATTGTACCGTACTCTCTGACCTTGTCATGGAGTGACACGCACATACAAGTAAAGCCATGTCATGCGATACATTCACGAAACAATACCCGCCATAAACATTCATGGAGGTTTATCCGATGTAGGCGCATCCACCGAAGCCTGACCTTGACATTGTGGTATATTGATTGTTGCTAACCCACACCTGGTCACTGTAGTAGACCATATTTATGGAGCTCACATGGGAATATAGATGCCCTGGACCTTGGTGACGGATGACAATCAGCCAGCTGGGTGATTATGTATAGAGCACATATTAGGGCTGAATATGCACTCGAAAGTTGTACGCCATTAATCAACCAACCTGTCGACCTGTCAAAAGATTTGCAGAACACAATGTGCTTATTATCTTTGCTATGAGCTCTCGCTGTAAATGGACAACGCTCAAGGTAAGTGAATGTACATATGCATAATATGTAAAAGTCTCTGCAGGATGGAAACGGTAAATATCCAAGGTCTGGGGGGGTCGTGCTCTCCACGTTTACAAACAAACAAGGCGTCGCCTTTGTCTATCGCCGATCAAGTCTAAAATGGCCACATATTTCTGGAATGAATTTTGTCTAAGAAAAGCAGTGTCTAACAAGGTGCATCCAAGAAAATCAACGGTATCTGTGCTAAATGTCTTTTTATGTGATAATAGGCTTCATTAAAAGTTATTAAATTTGACACACCGTGTGACTGGATAGCTGTTAAAAACGGCGTTAAAATCAACTCACTCACTCACTCAAACGAGAAAGGGTTTCACCGGTGTTTCAAATCGGTAATCCGAGACACAAAATGGACGTTGGTATGCTGGAAATAAAATGCAAGCAGATCAGCAATTCGAATGGCTTTCAGCCAATGTAAATATATTGTTACACCATACATACATATGCATATCGCTGCAGTGTTTGGCTATTCACGCTAGAAATGAATTCATAATTACAATGGTAATTTACAGTTTGCCAGATGCTGGAGTGATAATGAGACAAAGGGTTCCGTGACCGCAATATACAATTCTGTTTTGAACAAAATTTACATTAATAATATACAATAACCACATACAAAATAATTAAAGCTATTGATTTTGAAAATGTCATTGAATAATGAGTTTTCGTTGCTCCCGATGTACATATTACTGACTATTGTCTGGACTGAGTGCACACACTGAATTAACAATATGATTCCAATTTTGACGTAAATATCTTTTACGTCAATGCACTGAAGAACAGTACAGTGAGTATCATCATTTAAGCATAAAATGTTTGTGATAGCTTTGTGCATATGTTCCGTCCATTACACTAGCGTACTTAGGCCTTGTCTTTTACTTTACAGTCAGTGTTAAAAATGCTATATCAGCACTTGACAACAGTTCACCATAAACAAACACTATGCAAAGGCAATAACAAACTGGGCCCTTGTCCTACATTCAGATAACGGCGGTTCATGGCTATAGATGCATGTGAGTGGAACGGGAACGGAGCTGTCTCCCTGAAGCAACTTTGATGATTCTGCGGGCGCCTGTCGGAGTACGATGTCTTGTTTTGGGGGAAGCCGAAGGCGGTGTGATGGAGGGTGGCTGGTTGTGCTAGGTGAGTCGTAGGTTAAGTATCGGCATACGTGAAGGGTAATGTTATCATTTTACTCCCGGGCAACAGCCGGGGAGATATTTCAGCAGCCTTCTTCTTTCATGACTTTGAAACCTTATTGTGCATGCGCATTCATGAAACAACACGTTCACGATTTTGTCCAAACTATTTCAGTCACAATATTGCATCCCGCAAATAGAAAGCGAAACTTAGATGGGTTTATGTTGGGAGAATACCAATGTCGGTTGCGTTGTGGGAAGTCGATAGTTTGATTTGGGGTACGTAACAGCTGAGGGAATGAATAGGCTCAGGTGGGGAAAGTAACAGAAGAGGGAATGAATAGGCTCAGGTGGGGAAAGTAACAGAAGAGGGAAAGAAAGGCAGGCAGGTGGGGAAAGTAACAGAAGAGGGAAGTAAGATAGGCTGAGGGTGGGGAAGGCTGAGGGAGGGAAGTAACAGCAGACTGGGGGTGGGGGAAAGAAAGGCAGAAGGGAGGAATGTATGGGGAGGGTGATAGGGAAGTAACAGAAGAGGGGAGTAGATAAGGCAGAGGTGGGGAAAGTAACAGGGAAGGGAAGATAAGGCAGAGGGTGGGGGGTGGGGAGGGCGGTGGGGAAGATTAACAGGGAGAGTAACAGCTGAGGGAGAAGTAGATAGGCTGGGGTGGGAAGTAAGAAACAGCTGAGGGGAAGTAGATAGGCAGAGGGTGGGGAGAAGTAACAGAAGAGGGGAAGTAGATAGGCTGAGGTGTGGAAAGTAAGAGAAGAGGGAAGTAGATAGGCAGAGGTGGGGAAAGTAACAGCTGAGGGAAGTAGATAGGCAGAGGTGGGGAAAGTAACAGCTGAGGGAAGTAGATAGGCAGAGGTGGGGAAAGTAACAGAAGAGGGAAGTAGATAGGCAGAGGTGGGGGAAGTAACAAGCTGAGGGAAGGAGATAGGCAGGGGTGTGGAAGGAAGTAAGAGCTGAGGGAAGTAGATAGGCAGAGGTGGGGGAAGAAACAGAAGAGGGAAGTAGATATAGGCAGAGGTGGGGGAAGGAAAGTAACAGAAGAGGGAAGTAGATAGGCAGAGGTGGGGAAGTAACAGAAGAAGAGGGAAATAGATAGGCAGAGGTGGGAGAAGTAACTGAAGTGGAAGTAGATAGGCAGAGGTTGGGGAAGAAGAGAGAGGAGGAAGTGGATGGCAGAGGTGGGGAAAGTAACAGCTGAGGGAAGTAGATAGGCAGAGGTGGGGTAGGGGAAAGTAACAGAAAGAGGGGAGTAGATAGGCAGAGGTGGGGAAAGTGACAGCTGGGGGAATGAATGGATAGAGCTGGAGGAAGTGGGAAGTAACAGAATAGAGGGAAGAGATGGGCAGAAGTGGGAAAGCAAGTGGACCGAAGGAAGTAGATAGGCTGAGGTGTGGAGGAAGTAGGAGCTTAGGGAAGTAGGAAGGCAGAATGGGGAAATTAATAGAAGAGGAAAGTGGATAGGCTGAGGTGTGGAAGGAACAAAAGAGGTAGAAGGAGATGAGGCAAGAGTGGGGAATGGAGCCAGGGGAAGTAGATAAGGCTGAGGTGGGGTGGAGAGAGAAGTGAATAGAAGAAGTAGGAGAAACTAGAGTAGATAGAGGTGGGGAGAAGTAACAGAAGAGGGAAGTATAGATAGGAGATGGTAAGTAAGAGAAGAGAAGTAGATAGGCTGATGTGGTGTAAGTAAAGGACGGATGACTGGAGGAGATGGAAGAGAAATGTTTAGAGATTGGAAGATGACAGATCGGGGATCAGAACACAAGAGACTTGATTCTCGGAAAGAAGGTAAAGATAAACGGGGAGTTGAAAGTTGAGTTAATAAACATTGAAGTATTACATGGGATGGATTGGGAATGTGGGACAACTTATAAATTAAACAAAGATTCTAGAGCCACTGATGCTGGAGTTCCAATGTCTAATCTGCAAGGAACACGTTAGATATTTGGTTTGTTTCAGCTTGTTTCGGCGTGAACACGTTGATGATGGGGTACATCAAGTGTTTCGGAATCCTCTTCGTGGAGTTTATAAACGAGTTCCAGGCCTCTGCATCAATGACGTCACTAGTGATGGGCCTGACTTCAGCATCAACCAGTATAATGTGTAAGATTTTTTATTTTTATTGTTTGTTGTTTAACACCGCACTTATTCCAGCTACATAGCGGCGATCTGTAAATAATCGGGTCTGGATCAACATCATGAACATGTATCTACGCCATTGGGATAAGATGAATTGTGTCAACCAAGTCAGCGAGCCTGACCACACGATCCCGCTTGTCGCCTCTTACGACGAGCATGCTGACCAATTCTAACCCGGATCTTAATGGGTATATTGTGTGGGTATAAAGTAAGGTTAAGCAGCTGGTCATATAGCCGGTTCAAGTATACCGCTCTTACATGTGGATATCCGTAGGGTGTGTGATATTGGGTTTAAAGGGGCGTTTAAGGTTATCGCATTTGTATGGCGCCAGCGTGCATGTGTGTACGTGAATGTCAACCAGTTGACGTTTTATAGAGGTGGGACATGTCTCAGGTTTGAAATGGATACACTGTTCCAGACCAATATACTGACTCCGAGCCGACCGTACTTACAGAGCGCCTGACACAGGTGACCATCGATATTCCACTCACGTGGGAGTCGTTCTATCCATTAAAACATGACTGGTGACCGCTCTCAAAGCTTTGTTTCCCTATGCGATATAGACGAAAACAAATGAATTTGTACACGAGTAAAACCAGTGTGGTACATACGCGAATATGTTATCTTCATTGGTATCTAAATGTTTGGATATCAATATGAAAGGTGAAATATCGTTCCCTGAGCCATACTGCGTTACACTTGATACCAATAGTCCTTTGTGCTTCGTATCGAATGTGGTATTTTATGTCCATTGATTAGTTGGACAACAGGCAGTTTACTGCCTTGTTATAGTGTGCCCTCTACTTATCTTCATAAATAGTTAATCAAGTAGTATACGGTTGTTGGCATGGTCCAAGGGGGTAGATTAATATAACCTTATAATACGTCCCCAACCACGGTAGACTGTGCTGGCGATCTGTAGTCAGCAGTTATAATGCATTGGTTTGTGTTCCTCTATCGTGGTATTGTGAGAAATCAGGTCATATAGACATCTCTAAAACTCTTGCTATTTACTGTCCTTTGTCGACTTGAATGATATAGAATAAACGTATTATTACGAATAACTTAATTAAATTCACGATATGACATGACAGTTTGACTGAGTGCCTGACGGTTGTATAATGTATAAATTTAAGATGTATAATTATGCAAGTCACTAATGACGAACGACGAATAAATCATCAACTTCAAATTTGAAAATATCTCATGCACGACGTGATAATGTGAATGGCGGTATTTGTCCTGCTTTATACCTCTGTAGGAAGATATACTTACACCCATTTAAGATGTAACTTTTTCAGATAACATCTTGTAATATTTTTGAATATATACAGCCATTTGTTCAAAGGCGCTGCAATTCGCTATACGGCGTTGCGTCTCACTGGATAGGTAAGACATATGATAGTTAGTTCGATTCCCGGTTCACCTTGATTTCACCTGTTGGTTTGTCTCCTCCAAAATGGGCTATACCAAAGTGGTAAACGTGTGAAACCGTCATCACATCGGTGTTTTCTCACACATCAAGCCGGCATGCCGTAATATGAAATGAACAGTGTTTGCATTCAAAGCAGTGCTAAACCCGATTCACTCCCTTGATAACGAGGGCGGTGGGGTAGATTAGTGGTTAAACCGTTAAAAGTAAAACTAAACTCACTAAGCGAGTGAATGAGTAATGGGAACATGCCAGCATTATCACTGCAGAGGGATACCAGGAATGGGCTTCATACATTGTACCCATGTGAGGTAGTTAACCCGTTATCTTACCTTCATGTAAAATACTTTAATTTCATTGTTCAAGTTTCCGTGTCACCCCTCCCAGGAGGGTGACAACTGGAATTAAAATATTACCCGCTGCCACTGTAATCGCCAAGCTCTCCGCCGAGAAGCTGAAGCGCTAACAATCGTATGAAGTTTCTATGGAATACTGTAAGGGACATTCTCGCGATCTCGCATTCTCGCGATCTCGTCCTTTGGAAACAAGCTAAAAATGCCAAAAGTGCGAGAATGCGAGATCGCGAGAACGCGAGATTTGGCCAAAATCTCGCGTTCTCGCGATCTCGCATTCTCGTGTTTTTGGTACATAGCACTTTTGTCAAAAGTCGAGATCGCGAGAATGCGACATTTGTACATGCTGTCAAATCTCGCATTCTCGCAATCTCGACTTGTCAAATGCATGAAAGAAGCATGACCACAGCACTACTTAGATACGCATGCGCCTTGACCTTATGATATTACGCATGCGCACCGACAACGTCTAAAACGCGAGATCGCGAGATCGCGAGAACGCGAGAAAATGCAATGTCGCATTCTCGCGTTCTCGCGATTTCGTGTTTTTGTGGCCATATTTGGCAAGTCGAGATAGCGAGAATGCGAGATTTGACAGCATGTACAAATGTCGCAATCTCGCGATCTCGACTTTTGACAAAAAGTGCTATGTACCAAAAACACGAGAACGCGAGATTTTGGCCAAATCTCGCGTTCTCGCGATCTCGCATTCTCGTACTTTTGGCAGTTTTAGCTTGTTTCGAAAGGTCGAGATCGCGAGAATGCGAGATCGCGAGAATGTCCCTTACAGTATTCCATAAGTTTCAGATCTGTCAATTTGTCTGTATTATTTCCTCAAAAATCTGAGTGGTACTGCCAACAAACCTTCGCGACTGCGACCGCTATCTTTGTTGACACTGGCAAGCTCGGATGTAACGACGGCTTAGCTGATTGGTTAGTACTGTGAGAATGCGGAGCCAGCAAAGGGAGGTAATATAATTATCGGGCCAAGCCGTGGATGCATCCAGGGTATAGTGGGGAGTGATCGTAGCGTATACCCTGGGTGCCGTTCCACTAACCGATCTTAGCCCTACGCCAATCGTAAACCCCTAAAATCCCAATCTTAGCGTGACGTTACGATCGGCATACCGTTCCACTAACCAATCTTACCCAAGTCAATCGTAAAGTTAAGATTCAAAGTCTAAGTTGCTCAATCGTAGAGAAACCAAAATGGTGGCTTTCCTATTCTATGTGAAAAATAAGAGCGAGCATTTCACCGTGAGCGTCCCCTAAAATCCCCCCATGAAATGAATTTGTATATTTCTGTGATGTAAACAAACACTGCACTGAAGCCTTACAAATGTCAGGCCAGTCTGACCACTGTCGTCATGGGAACACAACCGAGCGAGTCGGTGTAACACATTTGTACAACAATATTGCAACGTCATGGTTAATAATAGGGACAGCCGTGAAGTGAACAATGTTCTGAAGCAAAAATATACAAATATGTTTGATTGTACCACTCCTGAGTGTCGGTTCCTTTGATCTTACCCGTGGTGTATGTGCTGGAAGACAACAGTTTTGTGTTGAAGGCAGATTTCGTCTGCCATTGGCTCCTAAAAGACACGCCCCACGGCAAGAGGACTGAACTCAACATTGTTCAACATTGTACACAAATTATGTCAGTCAAGGTTTGCAACAAGGAAATGTAACTTCTACAGTTTTAATGGTTTCAAATGAATTTACAAGCTGAAATTGACCAACTCTTTTATGTATGAGAACAAAATGCTGTAATAAAATGAAAAAGAGTTAAACGTATACATGTTCTTTATATGTACTTTGAAATTTACACAATAATGAAAGTTAAAGTTCCAAAAATGTTTTCAGATTTAGATTAATTATTGTAGAAAACACAGTTATTATAAATAGCACTCATTTTGGCAACTAGACTGAGAATGAAACGGTCGTTAAAACTAAAATTTTCCCGCTTCCCATACATAATAGGCGTGGTACAAGTCAGTTAGCTCATCCAATCCTCGATCTGTGCTCGTATACACCACAGTTTTGCCGGAGTTGATTGACAGGTGTTGAGGAAGTTCGAGGACAGCTCTCGCGTCTCCCCACCTGTCAATCAACTCCGGCAAAACTGTGGTGTATACGAGCACAGATCTCGGTTTGAAATGATCTAACTAATACTTTCACTGCGCATATTTGGTGGGGGATTCTAAAGACAGGCCGCGTGTTATTTAAGACCACTGACAGATTCTACATACGTTATAGCCTCCTCACGGCTTGTTTATTCTGATTGACAAGGTTCATGCACATATTAAAAGCTCTGACACAATTGACATTTTTAAAGTTCAGACTTAAAACCTGTTCTCAGTATATTACTTATAATCTCGGCTGTAAATATTCTCGTGTAAATTATCTGTACATAGCGCTTTGAGCATGCCCCAGGATGTGAAATAGGCGCACTATAAATATGCATTTATTATTATTATATTATGCCTGATACCCAGCGTTCACACGCACTTGCACCTGAAACCAAGGTGCTCACTACCCTAATATTTTGCTCTAGTTTTTTTCTCCACGTTTACACTTGGTTGGAAAAATATCCATGAAGGCCCGGGTTAGAATATTGAACTTCAATAACCCATGCTTGTCGTAAGAGGCCACTAACGGGATCGGGTCGTCGGCTCGCTGACTTGGTTGACACATGTCATCGGTTCCCAAATGCGCAGATCGATGCTCATGCTGTTGATCACTGTATTGTCTGGTCCAGACTCGATTATTTATAGCTAAGATACATAGCGTTCACTAACATGAACGCTCATGTTACTGAACGCTATGCATCTTAGCTAGATTATTTACAGACCGCCGCCATATAGCTGGACTATTGCTGAGTGCGGCCTAAATCTAAACTCACTCACTCACTCAGTTGGTTCGTAAACTACTTCCATCATTTGCTAGACTATGCAAAGGGAGATAACTCGTGCCTCGCATTTCTCTATCTCTCGCACGAAAGAGTCTCGATCTAAGCTTGAATCGGATCGTAAGATCGGGACCGGCTACGATCGGCCTAAGATCGGGTCGTGGAACGGGTGTAACTTTTAGCTAAGACGATTGTAAAATGGGCGTAACTTGCTAAGATTGATCTTAGATAAGATCGGTTAGTGGAACGGCACCCTGGAGATTATCGAGGATGACCCAACAGTAGTCCCCGCTACATCTCTAGTGCCCATGGAGATGACTGTCTTGTATAAATGTTCTTGCGTCACCATGTAAATGACCCGTGAAGATCCGGGTGAGAATTGGTCTTCAACGAGCCATGTGGCGAATAACGGGATCGGGTGGTCAACCTCGCTGACTTGGTTGACACATGTCATCATATCCCAATTGCGTAAATTGACGTTTATGCTGTTGATCACTGGATTGTCTGATCCAGGCTCGATTATTCACAGACAAAAGCCATACATCGGATCGGGATTATTGCGGCGTTAAAGAATCAACCAAGACAATGTAAATGCTATTTCTGTAGATGTCGTGATGTCAAAGTTTTCTCAGTTACATAAAAGCGTTCGTCAGTCACTTCACAGGTCAGTTGTCTTTTTTTGTTTGTTTTCTATTTGTTCACTGGAACTCTATGGAAACTCTAAGATATAAGAATTTGAAATACAGAGGAACTGAATATCGATGGTATAAATGATATGATTATGTTTTTCTATGTTTTATTCCTTTAAAAGCTCTCGTGGTTCTAAACATCCTTATGGACCGACTGAGTATCAGGAAACTGGCGCTGGCCGGGGCCATCCTAATTTCTCTCGGAGTCACCCTCTCCTCTGTATCTGCCAGTATAGAATTCCTCCTGTTTTCTCAAAGTCTACTCGTAGGTAAGTGAGTGAGTGAGTTTAGTTTTACGCCGCACTCAGCAATAGTCCAGCTATATGGCAGCGGTATGTAAATAATCGAGTCTAGACCAGACAATCCAGTGATCAACAGCATGAGTATCGATCTGCGCTATTGGGAACCGATGACATGTGTCAACCAAGCCAGCGAGCCTGACCACCCGATCCCGTTAGTGGCCTCTCACGACAAGCATGGGTAACTGAAAGGTCATTCTAAGAATCATTGAACATCCAGTTAAAGTGTTTCGGGCGTAAACACAAGTACTAATTTGAGAAATATACGGAAATGCTCCTTGTCGAATCCTCTTTTGATTCTTTATCCAATTGAAACAACATCGTCACACTTTAACTATAACATTTCAAATATTGAAACATTGGTAACGCTTCCAAGATTATCGAAAGGAGCAACGGCATGCGACTGTAAATGTATGGTGAGTTATAAGAGTAACACGTCTCTTTTCTAGGTTCCTCGCAAGGGTTGTTGTATGGTCCTGGTATCGTGCTGATTGGGCAATACTTTGACCAGAGGCGAACCATAGCAACAGCTATAGCTGCGTCAGGGATCAGTGCTGGTGCCATGCTGATGCCGCTTTTGTTAAGGTACCTTCTGGATACGTACAGCTTTCGAGGCGCTCTTCTTATGCTTGGAGGATTAATGATGGAAATTATCGTATGTGTGAGCTTCTACAGAGCACCTCCTGACAAAATTGAAGGAGAGGGTCTTGATGACAAAGATATAAACCACGAAGAGCATAATGCTGGAAGTGAGGACGACACGGCAAATAGTGGATATGTACATAAACCTCATTGTAATGGACTGCGTGATTCCCTTCTACCTGAACTTACTCCTGCTGATGTCACAGAAGAAGAGCCTGTCTGTGATTGTCAGAAACAGCTTACCAGTGCCAACAAACCGGTCATCCGGATCCACGAACATTCTGAATCTACTGGTAACAGCATAGATGCTAATTTCAATCGCTGTTTAGCTTCAGAGATATCAAGCAGTTCTCAATATCTCAAGTTTTCTAGTCACTCTGACTCAATTAGTTTGTCTACATTTAATTTGCACAGCAACATCGCAGCACTGAGCGAAAGTTCTTTGAACAAGGAATCCAAATGTTCTAACAGGAAGTGCGATGCGGCTCTCTTTAAGAGTCTAAAGTTTTGGATAATATTTGGGTTTACCTTCTTTGGAATCATAGGAACTAATATGTTTCCAGTCCTCCTGCCACCGCTAGCCAATGAAAAGGGCTTGAGTGAAATGGAGATAGCACTGCTTGTAAGTCTATTTGCTGGATCAGACTTCATCAGTCGGGTGTGTTCAGGCATTGTCGCAGAACTTCCCTGGGTCAACAGGCGTTACATGCTGATCATCATGTTCTTCGCTCTTGGGATCATCTATCAGTTTACGTCTTTCTACTCCAGCTTCCAGCTCATGCTGATGTTTGTTGTGTTGTTTGGACTCATTAATGGAGTATACGCTACTCTACACCCACCGCTTATAATAGATTTCCTAGGATTCGACTATTTCTCAAAAGTATTTGGATTTGTTCAAGTGTTCCACGGTGCTGCTATGTCAACCTCATTCCCTCTGCTTGGTAAGTAGTTACAAAGGTGTATCCTCCGAAGCTGACACAATATCGAGCAAGAGTTGTTTCTTTGTTTGTTGTTTTACGCCGCATCGTTAAACGATTAGTCAGTCACTGCAGTCAGAATATAGGTTAGTCTGGCTCGTACGAACTATCAACTGATATTATGAGTGAGTGAGTGAGTTTAGTTTTACGCCGCACTCAGCAATATTGCAGCTATTTGACGGCGGTCTGTAACTAATCGAGTCTTGACCAGAGAATCAAGTGATTTGACATAATGAACTTCGATCTACGCAACTGAGTGAGTTTAGTTTTACGTCGCACTCAGCAATATTCCAGCTAAATGGCGACGGTCTGTAAATAATCGGGTCTGGTCCAGACAACCCAGTGATAAACAGCATGAGCATCGATCTACACACGTGAGACACGCGAGACTCACCACCCGATCCCGTTAATCGCCTTTTACAACAAGCATCAATTCTAACCTGCATCTTCACGGGTATCTACGCAACTGGGATACGTTGACACGTGTAAAAAAATCAGCGAGCCTGACCAACCGAACCCGTTATAGTAGTGGCTTCTTACCTATCGAGCAGGATAAGGTATAAACCTAGTTTTGACGGTGACTAAACATGAATTAAATGGTTATTCAACGATGATGTAGTTTATGCGAGTTGCATAGTTATGTGAGTGGTATTTCAATAATATTTTCAAAGGTTATTGTATTACTTTCTTTTGACAAGATGTTTGTATGAAAGGTTTCCAACCGTCTAAAGGTTTACCTAAGATGATCTTAATATGTAAGTAAAGTTAAATTTCAAAAACGAGCAGCAAAAAACTTTACTTTGTATCGTGCAATGATATTAAAGTATGCATAATTATCATTATAAACGTACAGATAATTGTGATTGAGCAAATATTCACTAATCAAATGAAATCAGGTCATATCTCATCATCAGTATCCATATCGACGTCATGCTTCAGAGACTCAAACAAATGTTTTTAAAGCTTTGTGGTTTCAACTGAAGTGTGGCTGATCTAAGTAATTACCCTGGGGTAGCTATGGATTTATATGAATTCACCTTGGACTAATTAAATCTTTGTCATTATATATGTATTAGTTTTTTGAAAATCTATATCTTAGTTCCTGCAACAAAGACCCCGACATGGTAGAGTATTATCTCCATTATATTATATTTAATATACCATGTTCGTGTTTGCTCTACTGTTGTAGGGTTATAAGTATGATATATTCCGTGTAAGTATGTTTGATGTTAATGTTTTTATCTTAACATTTAATCTATCAATTTGGATCTATCCTATCAATCATATTTCCCCAGGATTTCTACGTGACGTCACGGGAACGTATACAACGTCGTTCTATGTCCTTGGGGCGACTCAGTTCATCGGAGCCGTGTTCCTCCTAGTGGAACCACTCTCACGGAGGGACACTTGAATCAGTACTTGGAGTTCTATAATCTATACATTGTTGAAATATTTAACAGACACTTTACTTAGGGATCGATGATTTAATATTCCGAGCTGGAGGGAAGTACTGAGTAATTGTTCGGAAATATTTGCACGATTTTCAGGTTATATGTAAATTAAGTATAAATAATAATCATTGTATCAATTATATTGAATCAACAATAATATATAGTCTATGTCTGTTCAGTGCATTTGAATCAAAAGTCAAGTTATGAATTGGTTAATTGTGATATGGATTTGGATTGAAATGCTTGTCTATACACTTAATATATTGATCCATAAGTTTGTTTTGTAAAACGGAATGGCTGGCTAAGTCAGATCGTTGTGTATCATGTCCAGTGGTTGCAAATATTCACATTTGTTTTAAGATTAGGTCACGACGCACCACAAAAACTCAATAAAATATGTTCTATTCTGTTCAGATGCTTAGTTCATGAAACGGATGGATTGGTATACACAAATCTAACTCAGGCAATAAATACCACTACTATGGTACACTGCCCCTGCCTGTATTGAGGAGACGTTTCACCACTACAAGCCTCCTAGAAATATCCGATCAACTGACCAACTGCTGTTGACTGTACCAGAATATAAACTGAAATCTTTCAGCACTCGATCCTCCTCTCATACAGCTGCTTCGTTGTGGAACCCTCTCCCTTATAACCCCAAGAGTGCACCTACGATATATGTGTTTAAATCTGGACGGAAAACTACCTCTTCTGACACTACCACTAACTGTCTTTCCTGTTGTCTGTATTCTGCATATACGTACATATGCTGTGATGCGCCTTGATCATGTCAGTCTGTGATGTGGAACTATATAAACATCCTTAGTATTGTCATCACCATCTGTATCCAAAGACACTGTTGTTCCTCCCTCAGTAATTACTTTTCGAGGCCGCGTGAAACAAGAATTGCAGTGTCCGATCATGTCATCATTGAAAATAATTGTGATAATAATCGATTTATTTATCGCCGAGTTCCAGCTGGGCTGCTCACGGGCTTAACATGATCTTGTAATGTCAGTTTCTGGTGCCAGAACACATCATTTTGAGGAGAACAGATGTGTTTTAAAGGGAAAGCCCGTACGAGGGTGCGTACTTTAAAGTAAGAGGAAGTTTGTTCCAGAGAGTGAGTGAGTGAGTGAGTGAGTTATTTTTAACGTCACATCGGCAATAATTCAGCCATATCGTGACGAGAACATATTTGATTTTGAAGTGGAATATATGTGTATTATAAAAACCTGTCGACGAAGGACAGTAAAACAACTAGAATATCACAATTAGAATTAAAACTAGCGTGGAAAGTTTAAGACTAATAGCACTATAGGGACAATACAATATAGAAACAGGCTATAGATCGCCAACAACAGAAGGTACATCACCATACTAGGGACCATGGTCCAGAGAGTGGGATTGAACACTTGAAAGATCGATCGCCTAATCTGCTCCAGGATCTGCTGTTAACAAACATACCTTTATCCTGTGATCTCAAAAGCATGGATGTAGCATGTTTGGTCAGAAGTGACGACAGGTGTTTTAGGGCACGAGTATACAAACCTGATATTTACGTCATCATCCTTACCTAGGAACGAAATGCGCTGAACTGATTCAGGGTGGAAAATTCTTTATCTTCAGAGACATAAACACGTGCTTACCAAATGGCGTTGGGATTTCCTGACACAAAAGTATCATGCTACACATTGAGTTTGTCAAGTCAACAATTGGACATGGACATTTCCTCCTCCCGATACTCTTGGTTTCCTATATTTTAGCACGGGTATTTCGGAAAATAAGCATCTAGGAAGTTATAATAGGATCTCCTCGTAAGGAGTGTTTGTAGACATTGCAGCAAAGCAAAACAAACATGCATGAAGCATGCTATATATATTCTACAGAGTTAACTGCTACTGAATGGTGCATGTTTAATAATTAATTCACAAGGACTGCGTCCATGACGTATGCATGCACATTCTCCAGTTACCTGCTACTGAGGAGGTCCAGAATGACAATGTACTCACAAAGTCATAATGTATGCAAGCACATGCTCACAGACGTATACATGAACAGTATTCAAATTCTGTAATGAATTATCTGGATTCCAATTAATATTATGTGCATAATCCCCATGAATGATTTTACACTATGGGTTTGAACAACCGAAAGGATTTATCAAGATTAGCTAAAATAGTTGTCCGGTTTTTGTAAAAGGTGCATATAACGTATACACAAGAGCAAAATGTAGGGAGTTCTATTGTATCACTCACTAATTACGTGCACGAAAAGTCTATGTTAAAATTCGACCGCATCCAGAGTTGATTGATTGTTGTTTAACGCCGCACTCAGTAATAGTCCAGCTATATGGCGGCGGTCTGTAAATAATAGAGTCCAGACCAGACAATCCAGCGATCAACATCATGGGCATCGATCTATGCATTTGGGATACCATGACATGTATCAACCAAGTTAGCGAGCCTGACCACCCGATCCCGTTAGTCGCCTGTTTTGACAAGTATGGGTAACTGACGACCTATTCTGACCCGGATCTTCTCACGGGTCCGCATCCAGAGGGTATACACACATAATATATACCGACCTATTGGCAGAGGACATCGAGGGTCGGAGAGCGGAAGGTCGCGGGTTCGATCCCCGACCGCGTCATACCTAAAGACGATAAAATATGGTACTTGTTGGTCCCTGCCTGGCGCTCGGCATTAATGGGTACAACCAGGACTGGTCGGCTCGGAGTCAGTATAATGTGTCTGAGTGGGGTATTCATGCTTCACTGCGGCATGGTATCTCAGCTGGCTAGCACTATAAAACCAGCTTAAGTCTTGGCTAGTACAAGCAGCCGCACATACACATACACACGCATGCACGTCGTCATAGGAGCGAAATATTCTCAAGTACGACGTTAAACCCAATTTCACCTCACCTCACCTCACCTCTTAGCATGGGTTCTAAAGACCCGGATCTTCACGGGTGCAGAAACAATTAATATTGAATAGATCACAAGCACTATTCAGTTTCACGGGGAGCTGCCGTATTTACACAGTGCACCATGTGCTGAAAATATGGTATTATATTGCATGTGTATGTAGGTTTCCACAGCGAAGAATACATATTTTATGCAGCATACGTTTTCAACGTTTATGTATGAGATTTGTTTTCTAGGTTACCGGCGATGCAGAACAACGCACTTACAGTGTGCAAACAATCGACTGATATGAAATAAGTAAATATTGAACGAAGCATGAAAAGGGGAATTTTATTATGCGTAAACAATAAAAATGGGCGTACCATTATTCTTAATTACTTTATGGCTATGGAAACAAACTCAAATATCATCACATGCCAGTGTTTATAGGAAATGAAGAGGAGAGTGATATATGATCAATATTCTTATGGTCATTGGATACCCGTGAAGATCTGGGTTAGAGTTGATCTTCAATGACCCATGCCTGTCGTATAAGGCGACTAACGGGATTGGGTGGTCAGGGTCGCTGACTTGGTTGTCACGTCGTATCCCAGTTGGTTAGATCGATGTTCATGCTGTTGATCACTGGATTGTCTGTTCCAGGCTCAATTATTAGCAGACCGCCGCCATAAAGCTGGAATGTTGGTAGGTGCGCAGTTTAACAACAAACAAAATACGGTCATTGGAATATCCGCATCAGTAGTCACACTCCACAAAAAACATTAACTCTTTAGAAAGAGAAAATGCCAAAACTGTGTTCAGAAGAAGACACCATAAGTAAACCTAGGACACAGACGGTAAATTAAAAGGGCCTTAAAGAGTAAAGTGAGTGAGTGTAAGGCCCAAACAGTACGGGTTATATTAATTTAAAAGTATATCTAGCTAGGGTCCTAACTTCACAACACTCCACCCATTTGTGGTGTCCCCGCCGTGATATTGTTGGAAGATTGCTAAAAGCGGCGTTAAACCAAACTCACTCACAACACTACATCATATGTATAGATATATACAGGATGTCTCGTGAAACATGATTTATCTGAGGCCTTGTCACTGGATGACAGATACATCACATCTCACTCGACACAGTCAGTAAATATTATATTTATTATAAACGCCCATATCTGTTTAATTAAATGCAACAATATCAATGCGAGAAAGGTCGATTAGCGAATTCTAAATTCTCCGAAATGTAACTAAAAATTGTTCAGATCCCCCTTGTGATGGACGAGGCTCACGTGGGCGATGACTATTTATTCAGTGAGAGACGCGGAATACATTCAAGGGAGATCACTCCGACAACCTTATCTCGCTCATGATACTGTCATTACAACTACTTCACACCTTCATCCTTAAGTTTATATATATAATAAGCCGTCTATTAATTCCAATCCAAAACATTTCTTTCTGAATTATCATTACTTGATATCAAAATAGTTCAATTAACAAAATATCAGACAGGTTAATGTGAATATTATCAGATGCTATTTCAAATAACAACAATTAAAAAACTTAAAGTTTCACACAACACTAAATTTGATAAAATCCTGAAACTATAAAATCACAGTGTCTGTTAAAGTCCCTCAGACAACTGATAAAGTCACTGAAAAATACACTGGTTGAACATATCATTCAACTCTCACTGTTCAGTACTGTAACACAATGGTTAGATACATGTTACAGTTAGTCTGAATATCTGGCAGGTTTCTTGATGACTCGACCACTCACACGGCTGATGACTTGACCGGTCGATGATGATGGTTGACTGATGCAGTTTGGTTGGGCTGTGTCTGGTGTTCGAGTCTGTTGCTATGGATACCTCCTGCTCAGGTATTGACTCTATTTCAGGTGTCTCTGACTTGGTTTTACTGTTTTCAACGTGTCTCTCCTGTTTCTTCTGTACAGTTTGTAGTCGTTCTCTACCACATAAGACCGTGGTTCGGCACATTTCTGTACCACTGTACCTGGTCTCCATTCTTTCCCTTCACTAATTCTTACTGTCTCTCCTTCCTGTAGTTCTGACAGCAGCTTTGTACCTCTGTCAAAGTACTGACCGCCCCCGTGGTGTAGTGGTTAGAGCGTCTGCCCGGAGAGCGGAAGGTCGCGGGTTCGATCCCCGACAGCGTCATACCAAAGGACGTTAAAGTATCGTACTTGTTGGTCCTTTTGGCGCTCAGCATTAATGGGTACAACAAGGTCTGGTCGGTTCGGAGTCAGTATAATGTGTCTGAGTGGGGTATTCATGCTTCTCTGCGGCATGGTATCTCAGCTGGCTAGCACTATAAAACCAGCTTAAGTCTGGGCTAGTACAAGCAGCCGTACATACACACGCATGCACGTCGTCATATGAGCGAAATATTCTCAAGCACGATGTTAAACCCAATTTCACCTGACCTCACCTGTCAAAGTACTTCTTTTGTTCTGTCTGTCTCTGTCCTAGTTTCGTCA